AGTTGGAAGGAGCCTTGGAGGTCCAACCCCCTGCTCAAGTAGGAGACCCTTTACCATTCCAGACTGTCCAGTCTCTTCTTAAAAGTTTCCAGGGATGAAGCACCCACAACTTCTGAAGGCAACCTGTTCCATTGGTTGATTGCTCTCACTGTCAGGAAGTTTCTCCTTAATTCCAGGTTGCTTCTCTCCTTGATTAGTTTCCATCTGTTGCTTCTTGTTCTGCCTTCTGGTGCTTTTTGGAAAATAAATTGACCCCCTCCTCTTTGTAGCAGCCCCTCAAATACTGGGACACTGCTATCACGTCTCCCCTAATCCTTCTTTTCACTAGACTAGACAGACCCAATTCCTGCAACCTGCAATATTACTATGCATTTCGGTATTGCAATATATAATACTTACGATCACTTATGATTTCATCGCTACTTGTTACTCCTCTTTCTTGTCAGTTGCTTAGAAGTGACTTATTTCAGTCCATATTGACTGTTTCTTGATAGTCCTTCAAATCTAGCTCCAGGAGTCTGGATTCAAAATTGTATGTGATGGTGCATAAAAGTGTATGTCTAACAGCTAATTGGCTATCATTTTCAGTCTTCTGAATTCTTTAAATATTGGATATACAGAACTGCTTATGCACTGTGTGGTACCTTTGAGAGAAAATGCAGAATCCCATCCCAATCTAAAAATCTGAAATGTGCTCTAGAATTCTATTTATAAGAATTGTGAAGATATGAAAAAAGAAATTGATGTTGGTTCCAATCCCTCCAAAATATGAAGTTACTAGCAACCTGCTTTCTTATGCAAGCAGGTTAAATATGCTAAAATTAAAGACATGTGTAGCATTGCGCACAGAGTTGAAAGCCTTTGAATATTCATGAACAGAAGTATATGGTTTTTAAACATAGCCACCAAGTTTCTGGGTTGGGGAAACACATTTTAAGACTGATTCTTCTTTGTTTGCTTTCACTTGCTTTTAAACACCATTTCATTTGCTTAATTTTAATTAAATAAAAAGGTCAAATTCAAAAACTCTTGCAGATAAAACAAAATTCTATTTTCCCCAGCCTCTAAATACTACAATATGGCTGGTGATGCAATGAAATGAGGGTAAGTTTTAAAATGAACTTAAAGATGGAAGATTTAAAAGGCAAAAGAGCGATGCTAAACCTCAGAGACCTTAAGACTCCTATTTGGAGGTATAAAATGGTTTCCCAGGTGCTACAACCTGGAGGATGTCAGTAGTTCTCCTTCTTTGTTTTTCCATTCATAACTATTTTCGTGCAGCATATCACATCACTTGGAGAGGAGGAGGAGGAGGAGGAGGAGGAAGAGGGACATAAATAGCTGGAATATATACAAATTGAGACCTTTCCAATATTTCCTTGCTTCTTTCTGAGGAAATGTGGGAAGGGCCTGCAACACCCTTCTGTACTAATAAAAGATTATTTGTATTTTGCAAGTTTCTCATGAATTCCAGCCAAGAGCTTGAAGTGGAAAATTCTTCCATTTCCCCCTTTTTAAAATGTCTCTTTTACCTTTTTTTAAAAAAAAAAAATCCAATACCCAAGTTATTTATTAAAACCTTTGTTGTCCCGAGACATCTATTCCCACTATAGATTTAGGAATATATAATTGTTTAAAATTATATATTGGTTCAGGATTCAATGTTTGGTTAAGAACAAGAGAAAGGGCCTGAGGCTGGGTGAGAGCAGGAGCCCATCTGGTCAGCCTTCAGAAAATGAATCAGTTGGATGCATCCAAGAAGCTCAGAATCCTGTTGAGAAAGGAAGGTTATCCCTTTCTTCCTTTTTTTTTTCCTCCCAGGCAACTGGGATTTAAAGAATGCTGACTAGAATTGAAAACAGCCATTAAAATATTGTGGTTCAGTTTTCATGACTTTATTTTACTTTATTATTTTATTTTTATTTTATTGATAAGGTCACAAGACTAATCAATCAATAAACTGCCACTAAAACAACAAATTTTCATTTATTCGCATCAGAAGCATCACAATTAAAATAAGGCATGCTATATGACATAACTTTTAAAATATAAAATACAACATTTAAAATATGTAAAAATTAAACAGATCTTGCCCCAGAAACTAGCAGCCTTAATTGCATTCTGTCATGGTGCCATGAAATCAAGTGTGCACTGATCAAGACACAAAGGGCAGATATACATATGTGTTGTTGTCTGCATGTCACCACAATCGCAAAGGCACCAGATAGCCCCATTTGTTCAGAGTGTCTCCAGATTTTGTTGTACCCATGCACAGTCTATTCAGTGATTTCCATACTTCCCAGCTTTTGCCAGACCCAGGCACCAGCTCCTCCGTTGGTTCCATCAAGTGTTGGTTCTCGGTTGGGAGAGGTTTTCTTGTGAGTTACAGCTACTCTGAGTTTCTCCAAGCTCCTGTTGTTGAGTCACCATTGATGGCATCTAGTCTCTTTGTCTGTTTGCCTCCTTTTTTTTTTTTTTTTTACTACTTGTGATTTTTCCAATGAGCTACCACCATACAGACTGATTTTATTTCATCAGCTATTGAACATTGTTGTTGCTGTCCAAGGTACCCCCAACCATTCAAAGCCATGAGCTTTTCTTCATTCAGCCTTTCTGCTCTCCCATCTTTCAATGTGAGAATTCATACTCTTGACAATATATTCCATTGTTGTTAGTTTGAGGTATCCATATTTCAATATTTTGACTTCTCTTTCATAGTTTTTCTCCATATGGCAGATGGCTTTCTATTTCCTGACTATAGTCACTTTTCCTGTAGATCAGGGTGTTTACCCTTCTCAATTTTAAGACTTGTGGACTTCAAGTCCCAGAATTTTGGGAGTTGAAGTCCACAGGTCTTAAAGTTGTCAAGGGTGGACACTCCTGCTGTACATTTTAGGTGCCACTTCTTCCATTCGTTCTCTGATCGTTTGCATTGGGTTGACTTTGCTCACTGATAAAATTTTATGCCCTTTGTTTTGTTTTTTAAGGCAGTGGACCAACTTTAGTCTTCATTTGATCTTCAAGAAAGGATCCCTTTTCACTGGACCCAACCACCAAAGTGGTCCTATCAGCATATCTCACATGGTTTGATGCTTCTCCCAAATTTCTGCTCTTCCTAGCCTAGTAGTTCAGCATGTAAGTCAAACAGATCCTGTGACAATACACAACCTTGACTCATCCTTTCTCCATCTTCAAACTATGCTCCATCTTCTTTTCTCGTTATTCTTTGGCTGTTCCAAATCCTTTTTGGTTGCTCCCTATTTTTTTCCTCATTATTTCTTCATTCTACAGCTACTTCAAGAAGTATGGAAATCATTGAATAGATTGTACAGGGGTATCCAGAAGCACTTTAAACAAATGGGACTGTCCAGTTGTGTCTGCCTTTTACGATTGTGGTGACATGAATACAACAACAGACACATATATACAGTACCTGCCCTTTGTGCCCTGATCAGTGCACATTTGAGACCTCATAGCACCATGACAGAACGCAATTAATGTTGGTAGTTTCTGGGCAAAATCTGTTTAACTTGTACATATTTCAATTTTGTATTTTTATATTTTATATCATATAGTATGCCTGATTATAATTGTGATGCTTCTGACATGAATAAACAAACGTCAAGAAGCAGAATGAGATGAACTGATTCCAATTCAGTAATCATTTTCCAGATCAACAGATCTCCCTTTCTGGTGACTGGATCTGCACAGATCATGCCAGGAGAAACTTAGTGAGCTGTTTTGCAACTCCCCTCTTAGTGATCTCCAGCAGGGACTTTGCATTTTTACAGCAGCCACAAACTGGGTCCATATTTTCAGGTGCCAATAAAGTCTCCCTTTCCTGTTTAGCCACTGGGTGTGTAAAGTTTGGTTTCTTTGCGCCAAAGTATACATTATACCTATATAATCAATGTCTTATCATGTATAGACTGAGAGACAGATGCTTCTCCATCCTCCCAAAAATATTTTCTTAACAACACACACATTCTTTCCCATCCCACAAGTTAATTCAAATTATTTGTCTGGGGGAGAGGAAATTGCTCCACGAAGGATACAAGTTTACTACATCTCTACCTTTGGGCTTCCACAGACGGACTGCAAGAAGACGAGATTGCCTTGCCTCAAAATTACTTTTTCCTGCCTGGGAATTTTGTAGCTTGACGCACCTGCGCTTCCCGCGGGGTTTCCTTGGAATCGGCCGATGGAGACCGATGGGAGGGGGGAAGCCGAACAAGAAGCCAAATACCCTTGAATCACTCTCCTTTTCCCAGAGAAGGCTGGCGGCAGCTTCCTCCCTTCCCAACAACCCCAGTCCTCCTCCGCTCCCGCCGGACTGGAGGCATCAACCGCACATTCGCACCAGGAGAGCCGCCCAGAGTTGGTTATAAGATGGGCGGCTTTATAAAGGCTTAAAGAAAGAAGGAAGGAAGGAAGGAAAGAAAGAAGGAAAGAAAGAAAGAAAGAAAGAAAGAAAGAAAGAAAGAAAGAAAGAAAGAAAGAAAGAAAGAAAGAGCCTTGATATACAGTGGTTATGCACCCTGTTATTAACACAGCTGCCTGCAATTTACTGCTGGTTCGAATCTCTGCAAGGCTCAAGGTTGACTCAGCCTTCCATCCTTTCTAAGGTAGGTAAAATGAGGACCCGGTTTGTGGGGGCAATAAGCTGACTTTGTATAAATATACAAAAAGGATGAAGGCTATTGCTTAACGCATTGTAAGTCGCCCTGAGTCTCCGGAGAAGGGCGGCATATAAATTAAATAAAAAAAGAAAGAAAGAAAGAAAGAAAGAGACGGCTTCTCTTGCGGATCATTCCAGCCTGGCCAGTTTTGGCAGAGTTTTCCAGGAAGCCAGCCTGGCATAGCTGACCTTGGAGGAGGGGGGAGGGGGGGCGCGTCCCAGCCAGGTTATGAATGGGATTCCAGAGAGGGCCGGGCGGGGCTTCGCTTCCTACGCCGGAGCATCTGGGTCCACCTCGAGGGCGCGGGCGGGGGGCGAGCGAGCCAGGCGCCCTGCTTGCTATTCCGATCACGGGCGCCGCTGATTCACAGCCTCGGAGCCGCTCATGAATAGAAGCGGAGACTTTTGACGTCAGAGGGGAGATTTATCAGCAACCCAAAGGGCGAAGAATATTCAGAGCTGCGGGCTGCCAGCCATCCGCCGGTGCCAGCCTCGCCGGCCATGCTCGCCCGGGAAGGACGCGCCGCTTGCGCCCCAGACTGAGCCAGCGGGGCGCGGGGAAGCAAGCCGGACCCGAGACTCTCCAGGTAAAAAGGAGGCTGCCCGTCGCAAGCGCCCCTCCCTCGCCCCCCGGACCCGAAGGAAGACTGCCCCGCGCCAGCCTTGTGCGGGCATCATCCCCGCACAGGCGCCGCCGGGTGGAGGGAGAGCCCGGTCCGCCGGGGCCGTTGGGCTAGCGGGTGGAGGGGAGCGTGTGGGGCAGGAGGGAAGGCTGGCCTTTCTCCGGACTTTCGCACTGCCCCACCAGCCGCCCAGCCAAAGCCGCCTCGCCCACCCGCCAGCCGTTTCCTCCGCCCGGCTGCGGGGTCTCGCGCGAGCCGCCTGGTCCCGGGCCGCCCCCCTCGCAGAGGACCCGCGGATTGCGTGCAGGGGGGGGGCGGCGGCAAAGACCCTGGAATGGGGCGCCGGAGGGAGAGGCAGCAGCGCGTCTCCTTCCGAGCGGCTGGGGGCGAGGCGGGCGAGGGCGGGCGGCCTCTCGGGGCAGGAACCCTGCTTTCCAACGGGTCCGTTGCAGCAGCGGAGACTCAGGCGGGGCAGGGGGCGGCAGCCGCAGTGGTAGAGCGGACGCGGCGCTTTCCGTGCTGTAGATCCGAAGGGAGGAGGAGAGCCGCTCCTTTGCAGCGACCGCGCTCCAGCCGCCGCCGCGCCTCAGCAGTGAGGAGAGGCTTTAGGAAGAGCGGCGGGGGGGGGGGGCGAGGAGGCTGAGGCTCCCTCCAGCCCCCGGGAAGCCCCAGCTTCAGATTCAAGAAATCGAACCCAAGATTTAAGCTCCGAACTCGGGAGAAAGCCAGCGAGGAGCTCTTGGCCGTCGTCGGATGCTTTGCCTACCCTTCGGCTGCAGCTAGAAACGGAGCTGGGGATGATGTCACCGCCTCTGCATCCTCCGGGGGAGGGGAAATACCTGCTCCCCCAACTCTCCCCGAGTATTGCACTAGATATCCCAGCCCCCCAGACATGGAGCGATCCAACACTTCGCGGGGGGAGGGGGCGGTAGGGGAGGAAAGCCAAGGAAGAAAGGAAGAGGAAAAGGAGGAGAACTTGTTCCCAGGGCAAAATTTACCTTCTGGTGAAGGAAAAGGGAGCGGATCACAATGTAGAAAACGGGCTCCTTAAGGACCCCTCCCCCCAGGACCTGGAAGGCAAAAGATCCAAGGGAAGGAGCTGGGGGGAGGGGTGTTTAACAGAATCACACAGTTGGAAGGGACCTTGAGGTCTTCTAGTCCAACCCCGTGCTCAAGCCAGGAGGCGGCTTCGGCCTGCCATTGCGGGCGATGTCGGAGGCGCAGAGAGCCCGGAGACGGCCGGGGCGTTTAGGCTCCCTCCTCCCCTCCTCCCTCTGACTCTCCCGGCCTTCTTCCTCCCGCAGCGATGTTCCCCAACCCGGCCGCCGCCGCCGCCGCCATGGAGGAGCAGCTCCGCCAGCAGCAGCACCAGCAGCAGCGGCTCCTGGTGCTCTTCAACGCCTCTTCGCTGCCGCTGGCCAGTCTCTGGCCGCCCACCCGGCTCTCGGCCGCCGCGGGCAGCCCCGCCGTCGACCTGCCGCCCGCCGCCACCGCGGCCGGAGAGGAGGCCGCAGCCCTGGCCGTGGCGGGCGCGGTGAGCCCCTGGGACATCGCGCTGTGCGCCACCGGGACGGCGATGGCGGGCGAGAACGCGCTGGTGCTGGCCGTGCTCTTCTACGCGCCCGGCCTGCGGGCGCCGCCTTTCCTGCTGATCGGCAGCCTGGCGCTGGCGGACCTGCTGGCCGGGCTGGGGCTGGTGGTCAACTTCAGCGTGCAGTACCTGGTGCAGCCGCCCAGCGAAGCGGCCACGCTGAGCGCGGCGGGGCTGCTGCTGGCCGCCTTCTCGGCCTCGGTCTGCAGCCTGCTGGCCATCACCGTGGACCGCTACCTGTCGCTCTCCAACGCGCTCACCTACCACTCGGAGCGCACGCGGACCTTCACCGCCGCCTCGCTGCTGCTGCTCTGGCTGGCCTGCCTGGCCGTCGGGCTCCTCCCGCTGCTGGGCTGGAACTGCCTGCGCCAGCCCAGCGCCTGCAGCGTCCTGCGCCCGGTCACCAGGGACAACGCCGCCGTGCTGGCCGTGGCCTTCCTGCTCCTCTTCGCCCTGATGCTGCAGCTCTACGGGCAGATCTGCCGCATCGCCTGCCGGCACGCCCAGCAGATCGCCGTCCAGCACCAGTTCATCGCCAGCGCGCAGGCCACCTCCACGCGCAAGGGCCTCTCCACGCTCTCGCTCATCCTGGGCACCTTCGCCCTCTGCTGGGTGCCCTTCGCCATCTACTCCCTGGTGGCCGACGCCTCCTACCCGGCCGTCTACACCTACTCCTTGGCCCTGCCGGCCGCCTGCCACTCGCTCCTCAACCCCATCGTCTATGCTTTCCGCAACCCCGAGATCCAGAAGTCTCTGTGGCTGGCTTGCTGCGGCTGCATCCCGGCCGGCTTCGCCTCCCGACCCAGGACGTCCAGCGATGTGTAGAGGTGGGCTGGCCCAGAGGCAGCTGGAAGCCAACACGCCCCCTCCCCTCCACTGCCGCCCCACCCCCGTTTCCTTCTGGAGTCTCTGCCGGAGGAAGGAAAGAAAACCCAGAGCAGAAACACGCGACAGCCGCCTTTCTGGGGAACGAAACCCGAGGTCGAGAGGAAAGCAATTCCAGACAGTTATTTTCTCATATCTGATTTTGCTACAACAGAGGCAAGAGGCGTCCGACTTTGGCCGGGGGGGGGGCTCCCTGCCAAAGGAGGAGGCGGCAAGTTGGCCAAAGAGCCGTCCGCGACGGATTCAGTGGAGAGTAATTGCAAAACGAGGGTCTTTGCCCTCAAGGCCTTTTCTTGATTCATGCTAAAGTCCCTTCGCCTTTAGTGTAAAACCTGGATCTCAGGAGTGGGCGGGGTGGAGGGACCGAATGGATCCTGATTTGATTTTTTTTTAAGTGATCTTTTATTGGCAGGAGGGATGATTGACAGTTCTTGTGAGATCTGCCTTCAGGATGGGGAATTGAGGGGAGAAAGGCAATAAAGGATGGGTGGTGGGGTCTTGCCCCTCTTTCACATAAGCCCAGTTTTGGGGGCTGGAGTATGTGTGGTTTGTGGGTGAAAATGCGGCCCAAGCAGCCCATCAGCTGCACCGTTCCGACTTGAGCTGGAATGTAAGATTTAAATGCTCACTCCTTCGCACGGAATACCGCCGTGGGGAAAGCGTAGGCCGTTTAACAGGGACGTCCCTCCCCCCCCCCCCCCCTTTTTTTTGTTTACTCCGATCGGATTTTTCTCTGCTATGCAATATCGAAACCACCTTTCAAAACACACACACGCCACGCACGCACACACGAACACACACGCACGCACGCAGCCCACAGGCTCACGCGCGATGAGCCGAGTCGGGTTGGGATGACTGGAGCCAGCCGAAAGGGCTCCTCGCCATCCCGCTTCAGCACCTCCGGCGTCGGACAGCTCCCCGCAAGCAGCAGCAGCCGCAGGAGGCCTCCGAAGGCGCCCCCGCGAGTCCCGTTTTTATGGGGGAAACGTGATTGGGGGGGGGGGAGCGTGTATTGCGCATGTCAGCCCAGCTAGAACGCGGGGCAGAGACAGAGGAACCCCCCCTCCCCACATCTTTCAGTATTGCCTCCGCCTCTCAAGAAGGTTGTGTAATTCATGGGTGGGGGAGAAGGTCTGTTGAGGGACTCCTCCCCCCATTTCCAACAGTGCAAACCCATCTAGGGAGCTACAGGCCTAAAAGCACTTTAAATTCATAATGTCTCACTATGTGAGACTAAGGCCACCCCCTTTGTATTTGGAGGTACTATTGAGATAAAGGCAGGGGGCAAAGTAGGCTGTCTTACAATGAAAGCAAAGGGGAGAACCCGGAAACCACAAGTAGTTGGTATGACTTCTTAACTACTCTGCCCACCATCCCCGTCTGCTATTCTGATTCAAGGGAGGGCCATTCCTCTTTTAAACTGTCAGCTTGATTTAAGTCCCAACAGGCACTTGGAAAAAGAGGGACCTTCAACTTAGCCAGCATGTTCTGTCAACACAAATGTATGTGTGTAACACGTCTGAAGAGCATGTTTTGCTCAAATCTATTTTCTCTGGAATGTGAAATTAGCAAATTGCCCCCTTGTCTTTGGTTTTATTTTGACTGTGGAAAGGGATGCCTTGGGGCCATTTCATAAAGAGACAATGGTGGGGAAAATAATATTTCAGTGAATTTGCAGCCATTTCCTCTTTAGCGATTCAAAGTTTCTCATGGTGTCACCCAACCATCATTACAACCACTTGCCACCTATCTTCAGTACCGTTATTTCAGTATAATGATTGTTGGAGATGCTGTAAGTCAGTACAAGAGCCATGGTGGCACAGTGATTAGCATGCAGTACTGCAGCCTACTTCTGCTGCCTGCCAGCTGCCTGAAATTTGGCAGTTCGATTCTCACCAGGCACAAGGCTGACTCAGCCTTCCATCCTTCCAAAGTGGGTAAAATGCAGAGCCAAATTGTTGGGGGCAATAGGCTGATTCTGTAAACTGCTTAGAGAGGGCTGTAAAGCACTGTAAAACAGTATATACATCTAAATGCTATTGCTATTGCTACAAGTAGTCCTTGTTAGGGCCAAGTTAGTTGTAACAGGGTTACTGAAGAATCCCATTACTGATATACTGTATAAACCTGTCACTTACTACATTCTGTGAGGGTGTGTGGGAATGACCTTGGCAGACAGGAGGAGGACATATTGCCCAGGCAAATGGTTGATAAGAGGCAGCTCAATCTGCAGGTTGGGAAAAAAACACAGGAAGCATTTCCTAAGGGACCTTCCCTAGTTTTCCAGAGACTAAAAGAAGAGGAAAAGAGAAATGCTTTCGGTCTTGCAAGATTCTATTTAATATAACCTTACAATTTGAAAAAATGCTAATATTCCTGCTGTACTTTTTCTCTGGACCTTCTCAAAACTTGCAAGACTGGAAGTGTTTTCCCCTCCTCCTCTAATAGGCAGCAGGCCTTCCTCCTGTCTCCCAAGATCATTCCGCATGCCCTCCCAAAATGTGACTAGTGGTAGTTGTGCAATTTCATGTGTGTGGTACAAAACTTCATATTTTACAAATTTTTGCAAACACAACCTGAAAGTTGCGTTTTCTCTGCACTAAATCATTATTCTTGCTCTACAGAAATAGCCTCTGATTTTCCTTCCTTAATCAATAGGGGACAATAGGAGTAAAAGAAGGGAGAGAAGGTATCAGCTCAAGGGAAACGCTGAGCTTTGCAGATTTTCAAAATCTAAACAAGAGTAATTTTAAAAAGTGAACTAAGCATGCTCAGTAGTGGTGGAGTGCACTACCCTAGCTCAAAGTGCTTGTCCTATTGCTCTCCAAATGTGTTGGATCACAATTCCCATCAGGTCTAGCCAGCATTCAGGTTAGAAGGTTTATAGCTCAGCACCCAGTTTGAAAAGCTGAAAGTTACCCTGCCAAAAAAGTAAAGAAACAGCAAACTGAAGTTGAATTTTATCATAGAAGCAGATCTTCATTGCTTTATATTTTTTGTGTGTTTCTGAAAGGATGTCTATTTTGTATATGTCAATGACCTGCCCACCCTTACAGTGGTGTTCAAAACCCAACCAGATTCTCTTTCCTTCCTCCTCCTTGGCCCTCTCCTCCACAGTTTATCAGGCATCTCTTGGGGACCAGGACACCTCAGTTTTGAGAGTGACTATCCCAGGCATCTGGGAAAAGAGAGAAAGCTGCCATACCATTTACATAAAAACCTACCACTTCTGGAAAGTCTGGGCAGAAGAATGTGGTTCTGCCGTTTGTGTCCTTACTGCCTTGGGAGGGGCCCTGGAGAAGCCAAGCTGCAGGCAAGTCAATGTCCACCCCCCCCTCCAGCTCGCTTCAGTGCTCCTTGTTGAAGGGAGATGTGCACATGGATTCCCCAAAGGGATCAGAAACGCACCACTTGCTAGCTATCATTCCATGCTGGTTGACCCAAGGCCTTGCAATGCACTTTATGGACTATTGGGGTGGGGTGGGGGGAGAGAGCGAGAGGAAAGACACAAGAAATCAATGCTCTTCATTGCACTGCAACTCTATGGTGTATACTATTATACATTTGTCTGTTGAGAGTAAATTATTTTTATTACTGTACATACAATGTTTGTGAATTGTCCAGGAATACTTAAAAGTTATTTTGACAAATAAAATTGAAAAAGAGAGATTAAATTCTGGGCATTGTCCCTAGAAAGTGCCAAAAGGATGTTTGGTTGTTGTCTCATTTAGGTATAGACTCACTGTGGGCAAAAGTCCTGGTTATGTTCAGATGTGGAGACCTTGGTGCTTTCTCTGCTTGGTTGTTTTCTCACAGATGTTTCATTACTCAACTAGGTAACCTCATCAATGCAATCAGGAGTACTGACGATTTTACCTAGTTTGGGTAATGAAACATCTGCAAGAAAAAGACCAAGCTCAGAGAGCACCAAGGACCACAGACAGTTCATCTACAAATATTCTCTTCTATTGTATTCGGATGATAGGCTGCTCAACCAACTAGCCAACCACATTTTTAGCTTGGCCTGCTATGGTGACCAAGGAAATGGGATCATTAACTGCATCATATAAAGTTAGACTTGCATCTTGAGATGTTGCTATTTGACCACTATTTCAGATTTGCTTCCTGTTCTAAAAGCTGGCACAGGATCTGACTCTGATTCATCCACCAGGGGTCCCCCAACTCCTCAGTTACAGACCAGTTTTGGTCCGTGGCCTGTTAGGAACCAGGTCGCATAGCTGGAGGTGAACAGCGGACAAGCAAAACTGTGCATGCATAGGATCTAGTTTTGCTGCCCATCTCTTCCTTCCTCCCCCCACCCTCCGGTCCTTGGAAAAATTGTCTTCCACAAAACTGGTCCCTAGTGCCAAAAAGGCTGGGGACCACTGCCATTCACCATCTATCTAAACTCTCCAGAGATGTGCAAACATCCCAGCAAAACCTCCAGGGATTCAGTCATGTGGTCACAAGTGGTCTCTTGACATTCTTGGCCACCCCCACACAGATGCCCTGAACCTCAGAAGGTTCCAAGTTCAAAAGAGCTGGTTTAGAATAAAACTGAAATTTCCATCTGCTTCACTCCAAGTTCTAGAATAAATCACTGATTTTGTCTTAGCCTCTGAACAAAATGGGCCAGTCTTGAGCAATTTATCCCATTCTCTCCCCCCCCCCCCCCCACATACATATCTTCTAGATATTGTTTTGTAAGCTGGGATTGAGCTGCTTGGGTTAGTGCTTTGTCAAAATATTTTCGCTTCCATTCCTGGTACTTGTAGCTGAAGCTGGAAACGAGGGTGAGAAACTTCAGGGGAAGGGTTGCCATAGCAGATGAGCAGATGGTGGAGAACCTTCTTGGGATCTGTTGTGCTGAAGACCAGATTATGACTCATCAACAGCAGTTGGACCATACCTGCTGGAGATCTTTGCTCCAAGTTTCATCTCTGAGCTGCTGTTCCATTTTCTGTTCCATTACCCAAAATGACGTAAGGGCTTTCTCTGCATTATAGCCAAATCCTCAGGATTATTTGGGCAGAGACTGAGCCCCAGGAGCAGACGTGATGAGATGGTCCTAGGATAATGGATAAAATAATCCAGAGGTCCAGTTTGTGGCTCTCTGAGCAGAGCAGCACTAAAAGATATTAAGGCAAGGAATTGAAAGCCACACTGGGGAAAAAGGGTGCGTTTAAAATTGTCCACTAATAATGGAGAAATGACTTCTGCTAACCATTCAGTCATTTCCCCAAAACTGACTTTCAGCAGTTTTAGGGCGTCACCCACAGCCATTGTTACAATGCAGGATACGAAGCCTGTTGTCATTACTGTTATTGGCACATTGCAATGTTTGGGTTTAAGTCACTAGAGAAGAACTCTTGATCACACACTATGCCTTAGTAGTCCATGCTAAGCCTTCCGAGTCTATACTTAACACAACCTGGGGAGAAGCTCAATTTCCAGAAGCTTTTCCTCTTGGGCTGTTCCTGCTGTACCCCCCTTTTAATTGGTGGGTGATGTTCCTCAACCACTCATAAGGCATTGTCTCCACTTCTTCCCCATCTCGACTTTTCATGCCCCGTCCTGACACTTGCCAAATTTTGATAAACCAGCAAAATCAGAAAACTCATTTTTCCCTCCTCCTCCTCCTGCTTCTATCCCTCCTCCCTCCCAGCCCCCCGTCTCACACACAGCTTGATTTCCACTGCAAAAAAAACCCCAGGGAGATCAACAACCACAGGAAATAAATACTCTTAAAATTTTAATTTTCTTTATTGTTATTGTTACCAACATGCATAAAGTGTCAACAGCTTGGATTTATTTTGCACAACATTTCCCGGGGAGAAAACAATGAAAAAAACCATAATTATTTACTAGCAGCTTTCGGCTGTTGAAATAGGGTTTTGGCTGGATTGTTTTTTTTTTTTTTCTACAGGCAGGAAAAGAAAAAAGAAAAAGAAAATCCATCTGGAACCATACAGTTTGGTCCTGTTTGGTCAGTGTTGAGTCAAGCAGAACCCACGAGGCTGGGAACAGCTGCTTTACAAATAGCAAAACTCTGTACGGCAGATAGATAGATAGATACAAGTGGCAGACATCTACTGATCTACTGACTAAATGCACGTAGTTAGAACAGCACTCCAGTACACAGCAGACGGCACTTTCGGCTACTGCAATTCGTCAGCTTTAGAAGAGTGTGAAATCAAATACTCAGAAGCAATGTGCAAACCTCCCCATGGCAAGATTTACCCGTTTCCCACCAGTCGGTCCCTTTGAAGAGAAATCAAATAATATAACTTTTTCTTTTTAAATGTACTATAATCCATGACACCAGCAGAAGAAATATGAACTTGGCTCACTTGCTTTGTTGGTGTCACATTCATCCACATTGAAAGTAGATTTTAGTAGCGATTTAAGTATGAAAAATACATGGAGACTCCCTATTTCATGTCAGCAAACTATTAGATAATAGATACATTAAATCTTGATGTCCCACCCCATATGGGAGATACCTGAATGATTGTTGCTGGAAATAAATGAAGTCAAGCTGGGAGAACCTGCAGCCCTCAGATGTTGTTGGACTTCACATCTTCCTTGTGACTCAGTGTTTCTCAATTTAGGGAAGTTTAGGAAGTGGGGACTTCTGGGAGTCGAAGTCACCCATCTTAAACTTGCCAAGGTTGGCAAACACTGCTCTGAGTGAAAGAACAGATCTATAGCTCAGATACATTGGACCTTATCAGAGTCTGTAGAAGTTCAGGAAGTTAGAATAAGCAGAAGTGCCCTTTGTATCACTTTTGGTTGTACATCACTTTTATTTCTCAAAACAAGAGTGGAAATATCAGTAGGGATTCTCTAGGAGCTCAGTTCTTCCTTCCTTCAAAGAAACCCAGGCACGCCATAGCCCCAAATGGCCACAAACATCTTGTCAATGAAATTTAGTTATTTTGCCAACAAATGTTGGCACTGGTATTTCAAGCCATTGAGGGTTTTGGAAGATTGGAAATACCTCCCGTTCAGAGTTGCTCTTAAGGGCTCTCCTTCCAAACATATACCTGGTTCCTGATCCTTCCTGTGACCCAATCCTCATTCTGGTAATATCAACTATGACTTTCAGCTAGTTATAGACCTGGTTGTAGACCCCCATCCCAGGACACTGTCCACCCTGAGTAATATCATACTGAGGAACAAGGGAGATAACTTGAACATTAGTTTAGTTGAGCCATTTCATTCAAAATGTTAGAAAGTGGAAATGTAACCACTATGTCCTGTTATTAGAGCATGTAGCAAACAGTAACTTCTGATGTTCCCCAAAGGCTGGTTGGGGAACATCCCCACATCAAACACCTCCATGGCTTTTCCACTGTGTCCTAGGGTTGGGACATTTTGCAGCTTTTGGCTGCTTCACTTTGTGCAATCCTTTTATTCTCCAAAAGTGCCCTTGGGACTTTATCAAGAAGGTCCCAGAGGTGCTCATGAGTTGCAATGAAGTATGTGCTGAGCAGCCAAGACTTTGGGCCAGCAAAGTTCAACCCACGTGTCAGGGGAAACAGCTAAGATCCAGATGTAGAAAGGATGAATCCATCCATCTATCCATCCTTGCAGAAAGAGGAAGGAAAACAGTGTTTCCTCTTCAAATTGTTCTGCCTAAGGAAGTGTTTTAAAACTAGGTTCATTATGAGCAATAGCATGCAACTGGTCTACTAACATCAACTGATTTCAAAATCTAGGACAGTGCCAGGCATTTGTATCCAGATCTGATGCCCCGTCACTCTCTTCTCCAAACAATAATCCCAGCAGTTCAAAGAACAGGCATGTGCTGGTGGTTTTCTTGTTGGAGTCCTGTAGCCCTCTGACTCTTCCCTAGAGCCAAAGGATGGTGGGACCTACCTATCAGAAAATCAAACTGGAGAGCTCAGATGCAGGATACAAGTCTAGCAATGCTCCCATCAATTGGTTGCATCACTATTTCTGATCCATCCCTCAAAGCTAAGCTTGGGTCAGAGGAGAAATGCCCAAGACCACTGGAGGCCTTTCCTAAAATTGCTGATCACAATCATTTTTAATGTGGCAGATAGAGAAGAAATCTGAAAATGGTACTTGCTTCATTTTAATCAAAATATATTTAAATCAAATATAAAAAATTGATCAAATCTATTGATCTGATTTTGCCCTGATCCTTCCCCTTTCTTCTTCTCCCAGATCCTAAATTCTGTATCCTTAACAATAATCCTCTCAGGTCGTCCTCTTCTATAAGGAGCTTAAGGCATTCACAGGGAAGGGAAAGAGGGGAAGTGATGTCACACCTGTGATGACATCATTGTGCAAATGACATCACAATGGCACAACATCACTGGAGTTTGTACTAGCCATCTAGAATCAGTGTAACATAGATAGAAACTTCTATGTTTGATAGAACATCTGTTTCTTTGGCACCAACCGCTCAGGAGGTCAAAAATCTTGCATTTCTTTTGAACCCACATCCTAAACTCACCACATCCTCAATCTGAGGAGCTCCCTTTACTTGAGCTCTATTCCTCCACCCAGCTGCATCCCACTCTTAGCCAGAGAAAACCCCAAGCTTTGCAATTCTTCCTTTCCCTTTCCTACAGTTCTTCTCATTTATCTCCTCTGCTCTAAATTTAGCCCAGGACTGCCAACATTTTCTTTGTTCCTGCCAGGGAAAAAATGACAAGATAACAACATATAATCAGAGAACTAAATCTGCAAAAAGACAGGGTCAATAATCTTTGCTTTCAATTGCACGTTTTATCTCTGAGGAGGACGAAGCCTCCTGCTCTTCTCTGGTAGAGCTAAAGTCCCCTATAGAAGTTGCAACCCGCAGACTATGCTGGATTTGGAATTACTGCAGAAAGACTATTTCAAACATTCAAGCTAGCCTCCAATAACTGTCTTCCCATTTTGACTAGGTAGACCCTAGCAAACACTTCATGTTACAACGGCACAGAAAATATTATTTATGACCATCATTGCATCCCCAGTCATGTAATGAAAATTTGGATGCTTGGCAACTGGCATCTGTTTATGATGGTTGCAGCATCCCCGGGTCACATGGTCATAATTTCTGACCTTCCCCAAATCAGCTTCCAACAAGCAAAGCCACTGGGGGAAGCCAGATTCTCTTAACAACTTCAGTGAATCACTTAACAGCCATGGCAAAAAAGGTCATAAAATCGGGCAGATGCAGAAGCTGAAGCTCAAATACTTTGGCCACCTAATGAGAAGAGAGGGCTCCTTGGAGAAGATGTTCCCTGATGTTGGGAAAGATGGAAGGCAAAAGGAGAAGGGGACGGCAGAAGATGAGATGGTTAGATAGTGTCACAGACGCAATGAACATCAATTTGGGCAAACTCTGGAAGACATTGGAAGATGGGGGGCCTGGCATCCTATGGTCCATGGGGACGTGAAGAGTCGGATACGACTTAGTAACCAAACAACTGAACCTAAGAATTCTCTTGCTCCTGTTCGTTGTCCTGGTGGGTGCTGGAGAGCACTCCCAAAACCCTCGGCCTTTTCCTTGATTCCTAGGAATCTTATTACTTATTTCTCCAAGTCAGCCTTAACAAGGATGCTAGGTTTGAAATAGCTATACTAGTCTCCCTTTATTTCTTTGTTAGTAAATTTAAATTTAATGCAAAATAGTTTGTCATGGAAGCGACTGCCTGCGAAGGCTCCTGGACTGGGGCTGAAAGGCGAAAGCGGAAGCAGTTGCTCCGTCCCTTATTTGGGTAAACCAGGTTGCCCTGATAGACTGGTCTCACTAGAAAAACACTTAACAAGGATGGTTCACCTGCCTGCCATTTTCTCAGTTCTCCTTCATCCACCTTGATGTTTCATTTATTAAAATAATTTTGACCTAGTGGGTCTACTAGGCAGCACATCAATTTAAAATTCAATCAAAAATTAGGAGAGCCATAAAAAGCAATGATGTATTTATGCCAGATGCCTAAATTAGTTGCTGAATTGATTTGTTTTCTGAGTATGCAGTTTGTTGAGCTATAAACTGATGGAATGGCCTGGGCTCATTCCAACGGTAATCCACTCCCCCCCCCACACACACATTTTGATAGGCTTTAATTAACTGTAGCCACTATAAAGCTCACCTAGTTAAGTGTCTTGTACAAAACCACCTAGGGATGAGGGATTGATACAAAATCAGCCAAGGTGGCAGAACTAAAGGAAAGCCTCCAAACTGCCTTAGCCAATTACTTAAAACTCAAGAATCGAAAAGAAAGGGGATATTTTCCCAGTTTTGGTGCTAATGCAAAGAAGTCCTTTCCTATTACACAATAGCAATAGCACTTAAGATTTATATACCGCTTCACAGTGCTTTACAGCCCTCTGTAAACCATTTGGTTTACAGAGTCAGCCTATCACCCTCAACAATCTGGGTCCTCATTTTACCGACCTTGGAAGGATGGAAGGCTGAGTCAACCTTGAGCCGATCAGGACTCAATCCCGCTAGTAAAGTTGGAAGAGCTAGGTTTTTTAAGAGGCAGATGTAATTATTTGTTCCTAAGAGCACTCTATTTTTTTTTTTTTTTGAATAATCATTATATCACTTCCCATGAAGACAGCCCTGGAAGTGACAGAAGTTTGGGAAAAGGTGACATCTGGTGTCATCAGGAAATGGTGACAACTCCAACTGAAAGGGATAGTCCATTTGTGGAGGCTTAAATGGGACTAAGGACAAGAATATAAGCCATGTTTGAAGGCTTAGGTGGTTCTTCAGCTAATGTGACTGTGAAGCAATGAGTGTATTGTCCCAAAGGTGCTTTTTCAGGAGGCAACTGGACTTTGTTGTTTTTTTCTTTTGAAGACGTTTTGCTTCTCATCCAAGAAGCTTCTCCAGCTCTGACAGGAGAGTGGGGAATGGAAGGATTTATACTCTACAGACAATGAGTGTGCTGTTTCCTGGTCTGAAGGGGAAATGCAGAAATCCCATCTATTTGATTGGAAATATTTGACTCAAATATTTGACCAGGAAGTAATTCAATGGAACTGCATCTTCAGACTGAACCTTTGGAGCAAACCAGCAGATAGAACTGAATGACTTCAAAACTCAGATTCCAATTTGGAGATTCAATGGATATTTTGAGCCTTAACAAACATACTTTTTCTCCATTGATTTGAAAATCCAGTTCAAACTATTAAGCTAAATTAAATTAAATGTATTTCCTAAATTGAGTTAAAATCCAAATTGAGTAGAGTGACAATAACCACTGAAGTTTTTAAAGAAGAGACTGGACAGCCATTAGTCCAGAATGTCTAGACCAGAGTTTCCTGCTTGACCAGAGTTGGACTAGAAGACTTCCCTAATCCTTTCCAACTCTACTATTCTGTTACATCTGACCAATATGCCGAATTTAAATTTGATGAAGAGTTTCAGATCTCTATTCCATTCTCTGCTTCTATTTGGGGTTTTTAAGAGAGGAAAAAAAAGAAGGACTAGCAAAATTCACAGGCAGAGAGAAGTACTAGATGAAAAACCAGACAAAGTGCTGCTGGCTTCAACAATAGTGCAGAAAAGAGACAGCACTGCGGTTATGTAATGGATTCATTTTTCATCCAATTACCAGAAGGAAAGAGGGGGTAAACTACTATGAACAAGAGGGGGAAGAAAAATTAAAGTTCCATGTTGCAAGTTGGACCTGAGAAGGATCCTATCTCCAAAAAGTACTCTCGCTTAATCCGGCAAGCAGATGCTATTCAGCCAAGCTGTAATTCCAACTGAACTAAATTAATCAGCTGTAGTTGGAAAAGGTATTTTAATGAAGAGAGAGAGAGAGAGGTTGAGAGGGAAAGGGAGAGAGAGAGAACTCATCTAAGTGATCACTTTGATCATGCTGCTTCTTATCCCCTCTAGGGCTTTAACTACTGAAGGTTTGTGTAACATGGGCCAGCATCTTTTTGGCAGTGAACATAGGGGACAGGCACTGTGGATAATTAGCAGGAAGCCCCATGTTTCACAAACAGTCCCAGACTCAAGAATGTCATTTAGCAATAGTCATCTCTACATGGCTCATTCAGTCCTCAAATATCTGCAAATTTCTTTCCTTCCTTCCTTCCTTCCTCCTTCCTTCCTTCCTTCCTTCCTTCCTTCCTTCCTTCCTTCCTTCCTTTCCAATCTGCAGACATTTCTTTGCTTCTGGCACTTGGCTCTGCCAGTTCCAGAAATAACTTACATCAGAGAGGGGGAAGAGAGTAACAAAAATAAATAGGGCAGCCATAATGGCATGTTTGCAGCCAACATCTGACTTTGATGACACAACCAACATACCCAGGATGCGCTTGAGTTGCACCAAGGTTATTGGGATGTGTGCATTTCATTGGATGATGATCACCTCTGGTCCTTGAGGCCACCCAAGAACACACCTCTCTCTTTCAAAGCTTTCCAGCCATCTGTAGCACTAGCTATAGCACTTAGACTTATATACCGCTTCACGGTGTTTTACAGACTTCTCTAAGCGGTTTACAGAGTAAGCCTCTTACCCCCAACAATCTGGGTCCTCATTTTATTGATGTCGGAAGGATGGAAGGTTATCATCCAGTTAGGACCAAACTCCTGGCAGTGGGCAGTCAGCCTGCAATACTGCATTCTAACCACTGTGCCACAACAGCACTGTAGCTACTGATTCACTCTTGAAATACATACTACAGTACGCAAAACATCGCAGGATCTGGAGATTTTGTCAAAACACTAAAAGCAGTGCTGTGATGCCATAATGCTGATTTTATCACTCTCCTCCCCCTCTTTGATCACCCCTGAAGATCCTTCTGCTGCAGAGCTCCTTGGTCACTGGACCAATTAACGTAGATCCCCTTGAGAACTTTAACTAGACACAATTATGGAGGAGTGGTTGAACTGCACACATCCTTGTCCAACCGTATTGCTTCTCAAAAGAGCAATACACCAACAATCCAATCTTTTTGCATGCAGTTCTTTAAAACAACCTTCAGGCAAGGAAATGAAGAACATTGTCTTTGGAACCATTTTCCTTCCTGCCACACATTTTTGCCACCAAACCTTGCAAAGTTTTGACTCCAGCCTCCTCAGCCTGATTGATTTTGAAATAGGATTTTTTTCCCTTCATTTTTGCTCTGGGTCCCATAGTAATTAATCAGTACAAAATTGACCACCTGATCCTTATAGTTCCTCAATATGTATAATCTTTTTTCTTTTGTGAACATTTTATACAAATCATTGGAGATAAAAAAAAGAAGAAGTGAGAATCAACCTGACATTTTAAATAAACTTTTTCTTTCTCTTTTTCTGTTTATATAGATATAGATATATTTAAAGCCCACTATATAAACACTGTACAATATGAAATAATTACAAATTAATTCTGCGAAGCTACATAATCCTACGCAAGGGATGACTTCATAATTAATCACACAATATGCATAGCTTGTGCCTCCTTGCTATCATGGCTTCTTCTGTATCAGCTGCATTACCCCCGTTCCCCAGCAATTCCTACTAATTGTCTGGTATTATTGTCTAATTATTCTTCTCTTAAAACCCAAAGGTATCTCAAGCAGATAGCAGTCTTTATACAGGTAGTCCTCGACTTACATCAGTTCATTTAGTGACCGCTCAAAGTTATAACAGTGGTGAAAAAAGTGATTTGTGACTATTCTTCATACAAGACCATTGCAGCATCTGCCTGATCACGGGATCAAAATTCCGATGCTTGGCAACTGATTCATCTTTATGACGGTTTCAGTGTCCCGGGGTCATGCGATTCGTTCTGCCACTTTCTGACAATGGGGAAGCCAGATTCACTTTACAACCATGCGACTAACTTAACAGTGCTTCACTTAACAACTGTGGCAAGAAAAGCCGTAAAATGGGGCAAAATTCACTTAACAAATGTTTCACTTAGCAACAAAAATTTGGAACTCAATTGTGGCCGTATGTTGAGGACCACCTGTATCTTCAACTACTGTGACAACTTGCTGGGTTATTTCCTATGCCTGACCTATCTCAATGTTACAAATAACGATCTGGCAACTGGACTGAAGAATCTGCCTGATACTAAATCAGAATTTTTCAACCTTGGCAACTTTAACAGTAGTGGACTTCTACTCCCAGAATTCCCCAGCCAGCCTGGAGATGAAGGAACAGAGCCTTGGGTGTTCTACAGGTAAAACCGATCCTTTTCCCTCTCTATCCAATCTTCCGCCATTTTCCCTACCCAATCTTGTACCTTGTCAATGACGAAAATTACAGGCAGAGGATGGAATGTCAATCCTGCTCATCACGGGCAGGTGGTGCCACCGCTTTGTGGTGAAGATGACCTGAAGAATTCCACCGCCCTCTGCAGACTGGAGCAAGAGCAGATTGGATTGAGAAGATGGCAAGTGATCAGGGATGCAGGTGTGGCCAAACTCTAGGCATACTTTTCACAATGCTTCTTTCAGGGAGTTTCTGTCTATACATCTGTTCCTTGAAGGACTAGTGCAGGCTACATGGATCCCAATTCCTTGCTGGAGGTATGGAGAATTTTCTTGGACAAAAAGGGAACTTATATTTGGGGGGGGGGGCTACAGCACAGCCTTCACTAACCTTCTTCAGAATAATCAGGTATCCATTAATGTACGGTAAATTCAACTGTTCTCCCTTGGTTGACAAAGGCAAATTGCCAACCAATTTAGACAACATGTAGCAGTACCCAAAAAAATTGCATATGCCAAAACTTGAGAGACAGACGTTGTCCTTACCACTTCTCAGCAATGGAAACACTTTAGTTTATCTTGATTGTCAAAGGAGGAAAGCAGATTCTTCCTGTTATGCAAACTCTTGCATACTTTTGATTATAATCCGAGGGCAGAATTTAAGAAAGGTGATTAAGCAACCTGAAGCCTACAAAGTCTCAGTGCGTTCTTCCGCTTTAAAAAAGGGATTCTCCAATTTGGCAACTCCAAACTAGCATGGCTGGCTAGGGAATTCTGGGAGTTGAAGTCCACAAGCCTAAAAGTTGCCAAGTTTGGGGACTCTTGCTTTAAAAGAATGCACTGTACCCTTTGGGACCAAATTCTATGAAAAAAAATATATAGAGAGAATAGGGTCGTGCGGAATATCCCAAATTGCTTCAAAATATGTTGAGGTCTGAATCCAAAACTTAAAGCAAGCATGAAAGCAGCCACATCATTAAATAGGCTATCGTGAAGCGCTCTCTGTAGCAGATGTGCAATCCTGAAAAAAAGAGACAGTTGTATTAATGAGCCACAGAGAGGCCTGTAATTGGGTTCCTACTTACACTGAAGCAACTTTTCAAATCTTGCATAGCTGTAAATCAAAACTGGACCTCAGAACTCCCTCCAATTAAGCCCAAAAGCTGTGAAAAACAATGAATTTGGGGGCAGTTTACAGCCCCACAAACACCTAATTAAAAAAATTAAAACCTAAAAAATTAGGTGATCTACAAAATACAAAACTCAGAAAAACCCAAGAAGACATAAAAGAAAAACACAAAACACAAAGCAGAACATTAAAAATGTGTGGGGGGGGGTTGGTTACACTTTCTTAATGTTTTGACTGCTTTGTGTTTTTTTCTGGGTTTTATATTTTGTATTTTAACTTTGTTCTGAGTAAAAGAAAAATATAAGTAAAAAAGATAGGTGATCTTAGGAGAGAGGAATTGGCACTTGTTTTCATTCACTGCCAAATACTGTTAGGTTTTTAAAAATTACCATTATATTCCTATGTACATTTAGCGAGTGTAAGCCCAACAAAACTCAATCAGGACTTACTTCCAAATAGGCACAACTATAAAATTAGGTATTTACGAAAGGTATGTGAATATCAACTTACATTGGTGGGAAATTTTAATTTTCAAGGCTGCTCAAGAATTTTAAGATGATTAAATCAGGAAGGAAAAGTACATAGTCAGCATCTTTCTGGAAAGAAACGAGCACCTAAAATCATCCGGCTCTGTTGGTGATGTTTGACATTTTTATCATATTTGGTTGTATCAGCTCAAAAATCAGAATTTTCCCATTATTATTTTGCAAACTTTTTTCTGGATGCACAAGCAATTTTACACCAATTTTGTTTCTAGTTCTTCACAATTAGGAGAAGGGGGGGAGGAAGGAGAAGGAAATGTAGTGTTTTCTCCATGGTAACATTCAGAAAAAATAGCTATAGATCAGAATGCAAAATAACTCAGCAAATTAATTGTTGGCCAGGTTTTGCTGATTGCCTCGGACATTTGAAACTCTTATGGGTTTCTTAGGAACATTAATGGCTCGCTATCCACAAATTCACCTGGGTGAAAGGTTATTAAAGTGGGAAAATAAATGTTCTATCTTCCCATTAAGTGGAGTCAGAATATTCTTCTGGAGAACAGGGGATTTATGTTTTCTACAAGTAGAGTCAAAAGATCTTGCAATGCTGATTTGCCTCCCCCAATGGCTGCTAATGTGGGATTTTTTCCTTGATCACATCTGAACTGGGATTGTTTGTCCTTTGTCCAACATTTTGCCTTCTCTCACTGAACTTGGCTTATTGTCGGGCTTGTCCCCACTCGGTCCTTTAGAAAAGAAGAGCCTTTGACTGCCAACAGTAACAAAGCCCAAGCCCTTCCTACTGGCCATAACGTGGCTTGCAAAATAAAGTGTGGCCCATGGAATCCTATGTGGTTCCCCAAGGTGAGGTCCGAAGGATGTGTGGATTCAGGCTCTCATAAACTGCAGTTAGCACAGCCGCTGAATTCGCAGGCTGGGAACTATGGTTGTGTTCAGCAGGTTGGGGAAATCTGAAATCTACTGTCATCCTGTTTTTCCCCTTCCCTTGTAAAGTGCTAGCAATTTGTCCCAGCCAATTTGCTTTCTGGAGCTTAGTTGAAAGTGCTAGAAGCAATGGAGAAAAATGTAAGAATGATTTACATCCTTCTAACTTTGGAAACCACCTTAGTGGATTTTTCACAGAGGGAAGTCTCTCTTCCCATCCCCTTCTGTGCTCTCTGATGAATGGGTCTCTCTAGAAAGGGCATTCGCTTAAATTTATCCCCATAAATGGATGGCTGAAACCTTGAGTGGGAATGACTGCAAAGGGCCCCCCTCCTTGTATGGTTTAGGGGTAAGGGAAGGTCACTCCATTTTTCCAGCATGTTGAAAAAAATTCAGATGTCATTTTCACCACTGGGAAAACTCAGGAGAAAGCTGGTCTTTTCCTCCCCCAACCCTCCCCGACCGAGTGTTTCAAAAGATAAGGATCCCTAATGCCCGTCTGCCCACAAAGAGGCCACCTTAAAACATTGTCAACAACACAACATGGCACGAAAGCAAAGCTCCTGAAGGCTGAGCTGCTCAGAGCAGCCGTGATTTTACCTGCCAGGAACGCTGAGTTGCCTAAGCCAGGTGGCAGAAAGGTGGCAGGAAAAAACCTGGGAGACCTCCCCCCCCACTGCTCCAAAGGCAGCCCACCACCCCTCCTTTAATCGGACCACTCGTTCTCATCCAACTCCGAGTCGTCGTCTGATTCGCTGTATTCCACAGCAATCCTTCGGGAGAGGATGGTGGCCACATCGTTCCCCACCGGCTCTTTCTTGGCTTCCTGTTCCCATTGCTCTTGGACTTTGCGCAGCTGAATTCCTGGGGAGGGGGAAAAGGAAGGTTTTTCTCCAGCTCAGCCTAAGGAAGGAGATTCCTGGCACCAGCTGATCTAAGCAAGCCCAAGCTGAAGTCTCAGACTGGCTTTACCCCCTTTGTGTGATGCTTTGGACTAATGCAGGGCTCTCCAAGCTTGGCGACCTTTAAGACTTCCGGATTCAGCTCCCAGAATTCCCCAGGAAGCCATGCTGGGGAGCTGAAGTCCACAAGTCTTAAAGTTGCCAAATTTGGAGAGCCTTGGTCTAAAGCAAGAGTTCTCAGCTTGGGCCCTAGGACATTTCAAGCGAGCCTGAGGTTTCAACATGTAACGGGGGCCCAGAGCACGTGCCAAGAGGGCAACAGAAAAGCAAAGTGCTTTTAAACTGCAAATACCATGGGGTCCTTGGTGCTCTCTGAGCTTTGTTGCTTTCTTACAGATGTTTCATTACCTGCAATAGCACAGATGATGTTGCCTAGTTTGGGTAATGAAACATGTGCAAGAAAACAACCAAGCTCGGGAAGCACCACCAAGGATCCAAGCACCATCAAGGACACCTCATTTCAACTCTGAGCTACAAATATTCTCCTTTATTATTGTGGACATCAAAAGAAAAAGCACCAGTTGCATGTCCTTATCAGAGAAGAGATCTGGCCAAGGGGGCCACAGGAGAAAAACAAGGTTGGAATTGGAACAATGGCAAAAAAAAATGGTTGAGAAATATTGATCTGGTGCATTTATTGCAAGCTTCAAGCATGCTTCTGAGACCCAACCCTTAAATTTTGTGGACAGGTGGCCTTTCCACCATTTCTTTCATGGTGTTCATGTCAACTCGCAAAGCCTTTCCAACCTGCTCTGGAGTTCCATAGGCAGGGGGATTGGGAATCGAGCCTTGCAGCTGTATTGAGGACTTTGCACCTCCATCAAATCAAAGCACATTCCAGCTGGCAAACGTCAAGGCCATCTCCACACAGATCCACAGTGGCTGGAGGGAGTGACTTCTATAACCCACAAATTTGCTTCGTTGGGGAATGTGACTGATGACACACCTTGGGGTGAGGGGGGAAACAGGGTCAGAGCCAAGGCACGAATTAAGTGAGGTCAGAGTTGGTTTTACTTGGTACGTGCCAACATGACACTGCTAATAAATAATTGGATTTCTTTTGAACCTCAGCTTGAGAGTCATGATTTAATTAGGGCATTGGTCAGAACCCTGACAGTTCACTAACTATACAGGGTGATCACCAGGTCTCTCTCAGCTCGAGTGCTGGCACTGAAAATCGATCCATTTACTAAGCCCACCCAAGGACGATAGGACCCTCAATAAGGCAAGGCAAAGAAGGCAATTGTGGGCTCCTAGTTCAGGAAGAGAGAGCATCTGATCTCCATCTGCAGCCAACCTGCCATGGCCAACTCACTGCAGGAAAACTCACTGCAGGACAAGAGTTACACTAATATCCAAGAAAAGATGGAATCATTAAAGAAAGGATGCGAAAGGAGGGACAAAAAGAGCCTTGGTAGTATAGTGGTTTAAAGCACCCTGTTATTAACACAGATGCCTGCAATTACTGCAGGTTCGAATCTTACCAGGCTCAAGGTTGACTCAGCCTTCCATCCTTTCTAAGGTAGGTAAATTGAGGACCCAGATTGTGGGGGCAATAAGCTGACTTTGTATAAATATACAAAAGTATGAAGGCTATTGTTTAATGCATTGTAAGCCGCCCTGAGTCTCCGGAGAAGGGCGGCATATAAATCAAATTAAAAAAAAAAAAGAAATGTAAATGACAAAAATTAAAATAATGTTTTCATTATTTTAAATATTTAAATTGAATTGTTGAGTTGGCCACGGTGAATTGACCATGGCAAGATAACCATGGTGAGTTGGCTACAGCGAGTTGTCCCATTCCGCCCCTTGGTTTGGGGGATGGGATGATGTTCTCCTAATTTTGCTTCCTTTGCCAAATGCTTCCTGGCAGAAAATCAGGCTCACTAAAGTGCAACAGCTCAAACTCTGCAGGTAGGTCCAAATCATGGGCGAAGCAAAAGGCATTGACTTACCCCGGCGGATGGCAGCAAGCAGGTCACTCCTGGCATCGGTCATTGGAATCAGGGGCACCGGCTGCTTCCGGGATTCCACCGTCACAGCAGGCGGGGAGGCTGTGTGTGCAGGGGAGGCCGAGATGGTGGGGGGTCCAGGGGGAGGAGGGGGAGGTGCCACAGGAGGTCCCATGGGCCCAGCCTGGGGGGGAGAGGCAGAATAGAGGCAGGGCACAGCAGGGGGAGGGGTAGGCGCATAGGTGGCATGGCTAACTGAAGGGGCAGCATTGGGTGCCATGGCCGAAGGTGCTGAGATGGGGCTGTCGAACGCAGTTTGAGCAGAAGGGATGACTGGGGGTGGGGGCGGAGGAGCAGGTGGCACAAAGTAGTCTGCCATTGGCACTGGTTGAGGACTGCAAAGAGAAGGAAAGAGAAGAAGGTCACCAGAAGGCAGGGCGAGAAACAATGGATGGAAACTAAGCAAGGAGAGAAGCAACCTGGAACTAAGAAGAAACTTCCTAAAAGTGGGAACAGTCAACCAATGGAACAGAAGTTGCCTTCAGAGGTTGTGGGTGTTTCATCACTGGAGGCTTTCAAAAAGAGACCGGACAGCCACCTGTCTGAAATGGTCTAAGGTCTCCTGCTTGAGCAGGGCGTTGGACTACAAGACCTCCAAGGTCCCTTCCAACTCATTCTGTGTTCTAAATAAGCCATTTTTCAGCTTTAATCCCATCAAAGCAAAGGCATTTCACGGGAGGGAGGGGCTGTCCAGTTGTGTGGTCCCCCAACGCATAAAATGAACCAGAAAACTCACTGGGAGAAGCTCCCACAATCTCTCTTTGCCTAACTTCCTTTGTCTTTTTGCTGGACAGGTGGGGGAGGGGGCTCAGAAGAGTCAAGATTGCAGCTGCAAATCAGTGGTTAAAGCCCTACCCCCTTCTCAGCCTGCTCTCTTGCTCTTTTTGGCTTCTGCAAGGCAAAGTGCATGACATTATAGGTAGTCCTCGACTTATGATCACAATGGAGCCCAACATGTCTGTTGCTAAGTGAGAGCATTTGTTAAGTGAATTTTGCCCCATTTTACCATCTTTCTTGCCACAGTTCTTAGGTGAACTGTTGATTAGTTGTTGTTAATTGTTTAATTGTTGTTGTTAATTGTTGTTGACTTAGTAACACGGTTGTTAAGTGAATCTGGCTTCCCCTTGACTTTGCTTCTCAGAAGGTTGCAAAAGGGGATCACATGATCCCAGGACATTGTGACCATCATAAATACGAGTCAGTTGCCAAGTGTCCAAATTTTGATCACGTGATCATGGGGATGCTGCAATGGTCATAAGCATGAAAATTGGTCATAAGTCACTTTTTTCAGTCCCATTAAACTGTCACTAAATGAATGGTTGTAAGTTGAGGCCTACCTGTATATGATCACATGAATTATGCCATTAATGCAATGTTTGCACTATTTGCAAAATGATATCATGATGTCAATTGCCCCTCCTTGGAGAAACCAATGTTTTAGAGGACACCTTCTTAAGGAAAGTTTGCAAAAAAACAAAAAAAACAAAACCATTTCAGATTGATAATTATTTTTTACCTGGGAAAGATTTGCATTTATAATTAGCTTTGGGGCTCATCCTTATGCTACTAAATTTCTCATGCCTGTAACCTTTAATTGAGTAAAAACAGGGCACCTTTCAACTGAAGAACCTCAAATGGGCTAACTTACAGAATGTGACTCCCATGGAATTGAAATTAGGCAAATTTTATAAAACATTGTATGACCTAAAATGATCACAAAGCACTTTATGACATAATGCAAAATGTTGTAAAACATTTCCTGGGGTTAACTGCTGTTGTTTGACTGTGCTGTATAGTTCAACATGGGATACTTTGACGGCAGGTTCACCTCTGAATATCTCCCTGAACTTTTCCAGGACAGGTAGTCCTCGACTTACAACAGTTCGCTTAGTGACCATTTGAAGTTACAATGGCAGTAAAAAAGTGACTTATGACTATTTTTCATCATTATGAATGTTGCAGCATCCCCATGGTCATGTGATCAAAATTTGGATGTTTGGCAACCAACTCATATTTCTGACGGTTGCAGTGTCCTGGAGTCATGTGATCCCCTTTTGCACCCTTCTGACAAGTGAAGTTAATGGGGAAGCCAGATTCACTTAACAACCGTCTGACTAACTTAACAACTGCAATGATTCACTTAACAAATGTGGCAAGGAAAGTCATAAAATGGGGCAAAACTCACTTAACAAATTTCTCACATAGCAACATAAACTTTGGTCGTAAGGTGAGGACTACCTGTACCTTAGAAGCTCTGCCATTGTTGAAGAGATTGAGGAATTGCATAAGGAAATCTCTCTGACCCAGCAGATCAGAGGTTGTCTAATATAAAATAAACTTTGCTGACTTAATTCCTTTCCGCCTTTTAGTTTTGGATCACCCATTTCCTTGATGTTAGTTTAGAAAGAAGCTTCTTAAGGGAAGACGGTTCAAGCTTTCTAAATCCATTGAGTGTCCTTTAAAGCTTTTTATTTCCTGCAGCCAATGCATTTTTATTCCACATAATCAATGAATGCAGATCTGTTCTAATATTTGCTCCTTTTGTCTCAAGGCAAGGAAAATAAAGGTCAGGGCTGTTTCTATGTTCACGTGGTCCAAGGACTATTGCTTATCTTAAAATAACCTGCTGTATTTGGTTGCCGGCAAGATAACAACCTTAGACAATGTTCTAACCAAAAAAGGTGAGTGTTTTTCCTGCAAGAAGCCATTTCCTTGAATATCATTTGTAATTCAAATCTGCGCTTTGCATTATAATATCTCTTGCCTACCTTTAAATAAGACGAGGATTGTACTGCTTGAAAGGCTTCCAAGACAAGATTGGACCATCATTTGTCCAGGATGGTATAAAATCTCCTGTCTTGACCAGGAGGTTGGACTAGAAGACCTCCAAGGTCCCTTCCAGCCCTAGGATTTTATGAAATGTTTTCTGAAATCCACCATGCATTTTTGTCTTACAGCAGAGGTCCCCAATCCTTGGGCCAAAGCACATTACTGGGCCATGGCCTATTCGGAATTGGGCCGTGTGAGTGGCTAGCAGGAACGCATGTGCACGTCCATGCAGCTCAACTTATGTGAGTGGTGGGCCAGCGTGCACGCATGCAAATACCCACCGGCCCACTGCTTGTGCAAGTTGAACTGTGCACACGCAGTCATTCACGTGGCCCAATTCCAAATAGGCCATGACACGGAGGTGGGCCACGGCCAGGGGATTGGGGAACCACTGGTCTACAGCATCAACTGAAGCTGCTGTCCATGGTCCTGAAGTCCTATTCATTGATATCCTGCCCCCCCCCAAAGATATTTAGCATGGAATTTCTGTTTTATTTAGAACATAAAATAAAATAGTTTGAAGGTACCTCAGAGGTCTTCTAGTCCAACCCCCTGCTTGAGCAGGAGATCTTATACCATTTCAGACAAATGATTGTCCAATCTCTTTTTGAAAGCCTCCAGTAATGGTGCACTCACAACTTCTGAAGGCGAACTAATCCATTGGTTGATTGCTCTCACCATGAGGAAATTTCTCTTTAGTTCTAGGTTTTTTTTTTTGTTTTTTTTTTAATTTGATTTATATGCCGCCCTTCTCCGAAGACTCAGGGCAGCTTACAATGTGCTCAGCAATAGCCTTCATCCTTTTTTTGTATATTTTATACAAAGTCAGCTTATTGCCCCCACAAACTGGGTCCTCATTTCACCTACCTTAGAAAGGATGGAAGGCTGAGTCAACCTTGAGCCTTGGCGAGATTCGAACCCTGCAGTAATTGCAGGCAGCTGGTCTTAATAACCAGCTTAATAACAGGGTGCCTTAAACCCCTGTACTACCAAGGCTCCTCAAATAAACATAAATTTATTCATATTTGACCATGATCAATGCTATGCATGTCATTAATGTAGCATCGACATGGAAATACAAATGGGTAAGAAGCATTGGACTTTTCTATTTTTATGCATGTTCACCTTCAACTCCTGCTGACTACATAGTGTACAGGGCCGGAAATTGCCTCAAGGGCAAAAGGGAGGGTGTCTACCAAGGCACTGCTTAGGTAAGGGGACCTGAGCCTGGTCCAAGAAGGCAACTTGAGAAAACTGTCAACTTGTGAAGCATTCCTGACCTGCTCTTGAGTTGCCAAAGGCAGGGGGATAGGGAGTCAAACCTCGCAGCTGAATGAAGGAACTTGCATTTCAGTCAAAACAAAGCCCATTCCAGCCCGCAATGTCAAGGTCATCTACAGGGTGACCCACAGTGATCGGAGGGAGTGACTTCTATAGCCCTTGAAATTGCTTTGTTGGGAATGTGACTGATGATGCACCTTGGGGGGAGGGGGAAACAGGGTCAGAGCCAAGGCGCGAATTAAGTGAGGGTCAGAGTTGGCTTAACTTGGTTTGTGCCGATATGAAGCTCCTAATAAATAACTAGATTTCTTTTGAAGTTTGGCTTGAGGCTCATGATTAATTAAGGCATCGGTCGGAACCCTGACAAAAACATTTCAGACAAACTCCTCCCTCATTTGCACAAAGATAGAGGGAGGTGGAAGCACATTCAGATTTTCAAGATTTGGTTACTATAGCTTCACAGATGGATTTGTTTTATTAGTCTGGTCTACCTTGTAGATTTTGTGCAGTTTTCTCATCAAGACCTATGAAAGTGTTTTCCCTTCTTCCTAGGGTTGAAAGTGACTGGCCCAAGGTCATTTTACCCATCTGCGCAGAACTAGAACTCATGCTCTCCCAGTATCTAACCTGGTGCTATAACTGCTACACCAAACTACCGTGTTTCCCCGAAAATAAGACCCAACCAGAAAATGAGCCCTAGCATGATTTTTTCTCAGGATGCTTGTAATTATAAGCCCTACCTCCAAAATAAGCCCCAGTTAAGATCATCAGCCAGACAGGTGCATTTAGTACCATATTTTCCCCAAAATAAGACCTAGCCAGCAAATAAGCCCTAATGCATCTTTTGGAGCAAAAATTAATATAAGACCCGGTCTTATTTTGGGGGGGAAGTGGGCAGTCCTCTTCCTTAGCATTAGGTGGACATGATGGTGGTCCTACCACTATACAAGTTCATGTGGAAAACCTCCTATAAGATGGAGAGATGATGTACATAAAGACTTCAGTGCCAAGTGGAGTATTACAGTGAAAGGCTGAGGGATATATAAACATCTGTTGAAGTGGACATCAACACAATCCAAATGGTTAAGGGGTGAAAGTGAAGTGAAAGTTCAGCTCTTGACAGCCTATTCCTTTCCTAGAGTCTTTGTTGTCTTCTTTTTTTCCTCCTAGAATTGACTTGGTCTTAAAGCACAACTGCCAACACTAGCTTGTTATGTGAGGTTCAACTACATTACTGATGCTTTTAAATTATTCTGTCCTTAATGGGGAGATTCCCCCTTAGGTCCTACATCCTTGTAACTGTGTCTTGTTTAGCAAGGAAAGGAACCTTCCATGCATTCTCTTATGTTCTCCTTCCCTTTTTCGCCTGTGGACCTAGTGAAAAGAACAGTTTTAATCGGGAAGAAACCAATAATTGAAATTCTGCTGGGTAAAAGAAATTGAATAATTAAGGGGTAATTAGAGGGTCCATTTATCAATACTGACATGACTATACTGAAAGTGAATCAATTAGAAGTGGAAGGACCAGAGAGAAGGCTGCCAGCTGTAGAATAATATAACATTCAATTATTTCCAAAATGAGAGACACTTTTTAATTCCATCAAAAGGAATGCAGAAATGCGATGCCTCACCAGCACTTACTAGACAGTATAATATAGAAGCAAGCTCCATGAGAAATTTGGAGATTGGCTTTATTAAAATGTGAGTCATTTCCTCAGCCAACCTAAGGAAATAATTCACATTTTAATAAAAGCTATTGTGTTCAAATGTCCTGAATCAATCTGCCAATGATAAACAATTTACCAAATTTTGCGAGCAGTTCATTTAAAAACAACAACCCTTAAGTTGTAAAAATATACATATTGGAGAAAATGGCCATAAAAACATATAAAATTAAAGAAACGTTAGTAGAAAATCAAACTGTGTTACGGAAAGACTTTCCAAAAATGCCTGTTCCAAGAAAATTGATAACATGCGTCATGTTCAAACAAAAGAGTATAAAAATCCCTAACCAGTTTCGTGCCAGGGATAAATTGATGTGGAAACTGAAGGGAACAAATTTATAATAAGAACAATGAGAAATAATGAAATGCCATCATTTTGCTTTGCCTTGGAACACGGAAAGGCTCCCCATAGCAACCGCTTCTCAGCTGAGAAATCCCGGCCTTTGCAGCGGGGGAAATATATATTCTTGTAAATTCACTCTGAGCCAAAATGTGCTGCACTTCCTAAGATGAGGCAGTCATCATGGAAGAGACGTAGATCCCTGTCTGAAGGCAGAGGAAGCCAGGAGAGAAAATCGCTCCCATGCAGAAACACCTTGTGTTAATTGCAAGTAGTCCTCAATTTACAACAGTTAACTTAGTGATGATTCAAAGTTACAACGGCAGCGAAAAAAGTGACATGACCATTTTTCACACTTACGACCATTGCAGCATCCCCATGGTCACGAGATCAAAATCCAGATGCTTGGCAACTGGTTCATATTTATGACGGTCGCAGTGTCCTGGGGTCATGTTGTCATCTTCTGACAAGCAAAGTCAATGGGGAATCCAGATTCATTTAACAACCATGTTACTGACTTTTTTTTTTTGCTTTGATTTATATGCCGCCCTTCTCCGGAGACTCAGGGCGGCTTACAAGGCGTTAAGCAATAGCCTTCATACTTTTGTATATTTATACATAGTCATCTTATTGCCCCCACAATCTGGGTCTTAACAACTTAACAACTTAAGACTGCAGACTTAACAACTGCAGTGATACAATTAACAACTTAAGCAAGAAAGGTCATAAAATGGGGCAAAATTCACTTAACAATTGTCTCAGCAACAGAAACTTTGACTTCAATGATGGTTGTAAATCAGGGACTACTTGTAATCCTGTACCAAGATATATGCTTAATCCATTTTTAATTGGCTAATCGATTCACTGAATGGCAACCTTTTCCAATAGTCAAAGAAAGAATGAATTCTGCATCCATGCAAAAAGTCAAGAAGGATTTTTTTGGCACAGAGAAGCCCTGGATTGGGGCCCTTTTTGAGCATGTCTTAACTTAAAAAGCTAGGAAAAACGGACTGCTGCTTATTAAAGTTAGATGAGAAAAGAGCAGGTTTGAGGATAAAAAAATATCAACCGTTGCTTATGACATAAGATCAGCAACAATTGCTCTAAAAATCTCAGTGTTTTCTGAGCAAAGGGGAATGTCAATTCCTTTAACAGGTTGTTCATAGATGATACAGGTAGTTCTCGATTTACAACAGTTCATTTAGTGACATTTCGAAGTTTCAACGGCACTGAAAAAAGTGGTTTATGACCATTTTTCACACTTATGACCATTGCTGCATCCCCATGGTCATGTGATCAGAATTTGGATGCTTGCAACTGACTCGTATTTATGACGGTTGTAGCATCCCAGGACCATGTGACTCCCTTTGTTTCTGACGAACAAAGTCAATGGGGAAACCAGATTCACTTAATAACTGTGGTACTGACTGAACAAGTGCAGTGACTCACTTAACAACTGTAGCAAGAAAATGCCTAAAATGGGGAAAAATTAACTTAACAGATGTTTCACTTAGCAACATAAATTTTGGGCTCAGTTGTGGTCGTAAGTTGACGACTACCTACATGTTCATGAAGGGGACCGAGCCCTGTTGATGCAAGCAGCTATGTCACTGCCTGGCCTCTGTTTGAGAGCTTTGATTGGGGACGGCTGGAATTTTTCCAGGATTATGCCCAACAGCACTCCTGCCTTGGCCTGAAATAGAAATCTCCCACTACCCCAGTTGGCTGAAATAATGAACACACACCAGGAGGGACCTTCCTTTGCTGCCATCCAATAGGTATTATTTAATTTCTCAGGATTGTCAAGAGGTGACTCCCATCAAAGGATATCATTCTAGGTCACAGGTGTCCCAACTTGGCAACTTTAAGACTTGTGGACTTAAAGCTATGCTGGCTGGGGAATTCTGGGAGCTGATGTTGCCAAGTTCGGAGACCCCTACTCTAGCTGGTATTTTCCAATGGTGATTTCAGGGCACTGAATCTTATTTGGGGGCCGTCCATAAATGCATGGCAAAGAAAGGGGTTATAATCTGGTTTCTGAAGTCCACCCCTAGAATAATTTACATCACATTTCTGTAATTCTGGAAAAAGGCATTTTTCTACCCGGGAGCTTCAGAAAACACCCAACTCTTCCTACTTAAAGGGAAAGTCTTGACGAACAGACAAAAGAAAGTAGACCAGAATCCATACCCATAGTCCTTGATTATCTGAGGTCGTGGTCCATTTAACATTGTCTCGGGTGGCTGTGGCACATGGGGCTGCTGTACCCGGTTGAGGCTGTTCTGCCGGCTTCCCACTGCCGAGGGCCTGAAGATCTGATCCTGGACCTGAGTAGCCACCAGCACCACCTCTTTGTTCTCGGTGGCCAGATGTGTGGCTGGAGCCATCATCTGTTGGCCAGGATGGTTAGGACTGGCTGGGTAGGAATGATCAGCTACATCGGATGCATAGGATCTGTTGCAGACAAAAACACCAAGAGGTTGTACACCTGGAGGGCAGGGATGGGGGGACAAGCAGAGGATCCAATTGATGGGAGGGATTTGATGGTATCTATCACCTCTTGGAACCAAGGGTTTGGTGTGCCAAAAGCCGTACTGTTGAAATGTGCAAGCATGGAGGAGGAGGAGGAGGAGGAGGAGGAGGAGGAGGAGGAGGAGGAGGAGGAGGAGGAGGAGGAGGAGAGAAGGAGAAGGAGGAGGAGGAGGAGAAGAAGAAGGAGAAGGAGGAGGGGAAGAAGAAGGAGAAGGAGAAGGAGGAGGGGAAGAAGAAGGAGGAGGAGAAGGAGGAGGAGAAGGAGGAGGAGGAGGAGGAGGAGAGAAGGAGAAGGAGAAGGAGAAGAAGAAGGAGAAGGAGAAGGAGGAGGAGGAGAAGGAGGAGGAGGAGAAGGAGGAGGAGGAGGAGGAGGAGAAGGAGAAGAGAAGGAGAAGGAGGAGGGGAAGAAGAAGGAGAAGGAGAAGGAGGAGGGGGAGAAGAAGGAGAAGAGAAGGAGAAGAGAAGAGAAGGAGAAGGAGGAGGAGGAGGTAATGGTGGGGAAGGAGAAGAAGATGAATGTAGAGATGGAGGAGGAGGAGAAGGAAGGTAAAGTTGAAGGAGGAGAAAGAGATGAAGGAGAAGGAGGAGTAGGAGTAAGTGGGGAAGGAGAAGGAGATGAAGGTAGAGATGAAGGAGAAGGAGGAGGAGGGGGAAGGAGATGAAGATAGAAATGGAGGAGGAAGAGGAGAGGGAAGAGGAGGAAGAGGAGAAGGTAGAAGAGAAAGAGGAATAAAATGTGGAGGGAGATGAAAATAGAAGGAAAGAGGACAGGGGAAGGAAAGGAAGGGGACGGGACAGATGGGAAGCATGCAGCAAAGGTGGCACAAGCTCAATTCCACATGTTCCAAATGGTGCCATTAACTGCTCAGCTCAGCACCACATCAATCCAGCCAACCCCTCGCCCCAATTCAGCAGTCCCTGAGCAGCAGATATCGGGACTCGTTCTTTGAAAGAGAGGCGCAGGTTTCCCTGGCCCTGCCCCTACCCAAAGGGCACGCTGCTCTCTTCCATAAAAGCATCCCCAAGGCCCCTGAACGTCAAACCAAAGGAAAGCCCAAACCACAAAGCCAAGCAAGACCAGGCAGCCAAAGCAACGGAAGGAGGCCAAGCGAGGTGTGTCATTCACAAAACCTGCCTATTATCTGGGGACAGTGATCCTTCCGATGAAGCCATGTGATATGGGGATGGTGAGAACCTGTTATCCGGCCGGAATTCTTTATCGTAAGCCATCATGTTCCACTCCAGCCGCCGGTTGCGTGCCTTCCGCACTTTCTTCACCTCCCGGGTGGAATCCTCAACCAGTCGCTGCTCCTGGAGAGAGTTGGACGGGCAAGAAGAAAGAGCCATCAGCATTCCCCACTGAGATGGCTCCAAAGAGCTGGGGCAAAGTCCCCTCCGCCCCAACTACAAAACACATTCTACATCCAGCCTTGGTGGAGGAACCTGGGGAATCCTCTCCGTCCCACCTCAACCCCTGCTGTGATTCCCACAATGGACGAACGGCTGCAAAAGTTGATGGACTTGGCAGAGATGGCTAAATTGACTGCTCTGATTAAAGAAAAGGCGGCCACAAGTTTCTTTCCACAAGTTAAAGAAATATGACGGGTCCGTATAGAATTTTGCTTCTACTTGGAAACCACTTCTGGACTTTGTGCTTGAGGTGGGAAAAATGGAACTTTTTATTTTGGGTTTTGCTGTTTAGATTTGTCATTATAGAAATAATTAGTATACATTATCATATAAAACTAAAATGTTTTATAGGTTCTATGTTATTATCTTATTCTACTGAACCAAAAGGATTCATAAGTCATTATTTGTCTTTTTTCTTTTCCCCTTTCCCTTACACCTTTTCCTTTCTTCCTTCTCCTTCCTTATTTTCCTATCATTCTCATTTCTCTTTGTATTTTTGTATTTTATATTTTGATGAACTAATAAAAATTTGCGGCACACCCCTGCTGAGTTACCTGTAGTGCTGGACCCTACAACGAGTGGGAATTGGAAAGCAAATTTAAAAGGACACATCTATTTTCTTTGTTTAAAAAAAGGTGAGATTCATAAAATCATAAAGCTGGAAGGGACCTTAGAGGTCTTCTAGTCCAACCCCCTGCCAAAGCAGGCATCCTTATATCATCTTGGAGAAATGGATCCAATCTCTTTCTGAAAAACTCCAATGATGGAGCACCCACTTACTCTGGGAGACAAGCTGTCCCATAGATTAATTGTATTCCCTATCAGGAATTTTCTCCTTAGTTCCACATAAACATCTTCCTATCTTCTGTTATTTCTGGATGGAGATCTATGGAGATTCTCAGTCATCCAGGTCATTCATGGTTCTCCCAAAGGGCAGCCTTTGGAGAACTGGACATTTTGTTTTTTCTTTGAAGACATTTCATTTCTCATCCAAGAAGCTTCTTCAGCTCTGACTGGTTGGTGGGGAATGGAAGGATTTATACACCTTGGAGACAGCTGGTTATTTGCATCCTTTTAGAGAGTTGTTGAGGCCACCTGGAGGTTAATCTGTGTCTTCAGGATCACCTGAGTGGTGCAAATGGGTGGGGAGCCTTCTTGGAACTGCTGAAAGGACGGTGTTGTAGACTGGAGATAGATGATGTTGTAGCCTCCACCCTCTGTTGAGAGAGGGCCGTTCAATTTTGACAGAGATGGCCGCTTTGACCCCTCTTTCAAACCAGCAGTCCTCTCTGTCCAAAATGTGGACTTTGCTGTCTTCAGAAGAGTGTCTTTTAAATGAGATGAACTGCTGAATCTAGTCATCATCTATCAGTTCTAAAGAAGCTTCTTGGATGAGAAGTGAAATGTCTTCAAGGAAAAACAAAGAAAGTCCAGTTGCCTTTTGAAAAAAGGCACTTTTCTAGATGGAGGTTTAGCTGCATCTACCTGTACAGCTAATCCTCAATTACAACCGTTCGTTTAATGACCATTCAAAGTTAACAACAGCACTGAAAAAAAGTGACACACATGACTGTTGCAACATTCCCACAGTTGCGTGATCAAAATCTGGAGATTTGGCAACCAGCACGTATTTACAACAATTGTGGCATCCTGGGATCATGTGATCACCATCTACAATCTTCCCGACTGGCCTCCGACTGGGAAAATCAATGGGGGGAGCTGGATTCGCTTAACAACTATGTGACTCACTTAACAACTGCAGTGATTCAAAAATCGTGGCAGAAAAGGTCATAAAATCAATCATCCAGGTCACAGATTTTTAAAAGATGCTTTTTCAAAAGGCAACTGGACTGTTTTTTCCTCGAGGAAGAAGACGACATTTCGCTTCTTATCCCAGAGGCTTCATCGGTTCTGGCAGGATGAGGGAGGGGCTATGAAGGGATTAGTTCATTAGGGTTGTAAAATCAGGAGCAACTCACTTAACCACCTGAATCCAATTGCGGATGTAAGTCAAGGGCCACCTGGACTACCTGCCAGGAATTCCAGGTTCTGCAGCTGTTTTTACCTTCTGCCTGCGTTTCTCTTTCCTCTTGTCTTCTGTGGCTTGCAACATCTTCTCTTTCCACAAGTTAAAGAAATATGACGGGTCCGTATAGAATTTTAAGCCATCTTTCTTATCATCTCTGAAATAGCAAGCAGGAGGAAAGGGGGGCAAGGAAGAGAGCAAGGAAAGAAGAAAAGGAGAGATGCTTATTATGGACAGAGATGCAGCACCACCTACTACTGGTTTGATCCTTGCCCAGAGAAGCTCAGTCAAGTGAAGGGGGCAGGGAACCTTAGGTAGTGGTTTTAATTTCAGAACAACAGAAGAATTCTGGGAGCTGAAGTCCACACGTCTTAAAGTGGCCCAGGTTGGGGACCCCTGCTCTGCCTTGTAAGGGCTGCAAAGCCACCAGCAGTGTCCCTCCCCCACTCTACCTGTACGGAGTGAGGATATTCAAGGGTGGAGGCTTATCACAACGCTGGTACATCTCCATCACAGGGTTAGGGATCGAATTGCGCGACACCACCTGCTGGTTCTGGATGGTAGAGCTCTTGAAAGCTTTCCGCATGTTGATATCCTGCAGGGAGACTGGAAGACACAAACCAGGCGCTCTTTAGGATATGCTCATGATCCTATCTCATACACAAAACACACAGGCACACACACACATGGCCCCCTGCAAAACCCGCTGGATATCCTAAAGGTGCTTTTTCAAGAGGCAATGGGACTTCCTTTGTTTTTCCTTGAAGACTTTTCATCCAAGAAGCTTCTTCAGTTCTGACTGAATGGTGGAGGAAGGATTTATATTCCTTGCAGTCCTCTGGTCATTAGCACTCTTTCTGAGAGTTGTTGAGGCCACTTCCACAGCCAATTGCCCTATTCAGGTGATTCTGAGGGCAAGATAAACCTCCAAGTGGCCTCAATGACTCTCAGAGAGAGCGCTAACGACCAGAGGACTGCACGGAATATCAATCCTTCCATTCTCCACCATTCAGTCAGAACTGAAGAAGCTTCTTGGATGAGAAGTGAAACGTCTTCAAAGAAAAAACAAGAAGGTCCAGTTGCCTCTTGAAAAAACACCTTTACCTGGATGACTGAGAATCTCCATAAACAACCTGCTGGATAGTTGATGCCAGATATTGACAGTTACCAACAATTTTAAATGTGATTTTATTAATAACTGATTTTTAGCCAGCAGACGATAGGAAGCAGAAAGACTGTCATAAATAAAAATCTATTATTATATTCCGTGCTATACAGAAAGTTAGCGGAAAAAAGTCTACAGTATTAAGACTAAATAGTTGGAGTGAGGAGAGAGGGGTCTTCTCGGATCTACTATCAAGGCTGGGTGGATTTTGCACACAATCTCAGACAATGTGGCCATGCTGTGGTTTACAAAGTCATCTTTGCCAGAAGATAATAAGGAGGCATTGAAGGGGATGTGGGGGGTGGGGAGGAATGATATTTCTCAAAGAATCGATGAAATATGACTCACACACAGAGAGAGAAAGAGAACAATAAAAATCTATTCAATCTGACCATCATCTCAAAGGTGCTTTTTCAAAAAGCAACTGGACTTTGTTTTCCCTTGAAGATGTTTCGCTTCTCAATTCTGACCAAATGTGGAGAATGGAAGGATTTATATTCCTTGGAGGCATCAGGTCGTTCCATCCTCCACCATTCAGTCTGAACAGAAGGAGCTTCTCAGATGAGAAACTAAATGTGTTCAAGGAAAAACAAAGTCCAGTTGCCTTTTGAAAAAGCACCTTTGGAGCAACCAAGACCTGGATGACTTGAGAATCTTCCTAAATCTGACCATCAGTACCTTCTTCCACCGTGGAGTCCAGCTGAGTGACCTTGATCACCAAAAGATCCACCCGTTCCTGCAAGGAGTTCATCCGCAAATAAAAGCTATTGGCTTCGTTGAAGAGTTCTCCAAAAATATCTTCAGCATGTCTGCCTGAGAGGAAGAGTTAAAAGAGAGAAGCCCATTTGAGGTCTGCAGAGATAGAGATGGCCTTCAAAGAAGGTTTTGGGACTCTGGAAGGAGAAGCAATCATAAACAACCACCGGATGAGATGTTCTAGATTAGTGTTTCTCAACCTGGATGAGTTTAAGATGTGTGGACTTCAACTCCCAGAATTTCTCAGCCGGCTTTGCTGGCTGAGAAATTCTGGGAGTTGAAGTCCACACATCTTAAACTCATCCAGGTTGAGAAACCCTGTTCCAGATGGTATCCATAACTAGCACTGTTCTTAGTTTGGACTAATGCTCTCTCTAGTCATCCAATCAGATACAGGCAGTCTTTGGCTTATGACCACAATTGAGCCCAAAACTTCTATTGCTAAGCGAGACAGTTGTTAAGTGAGTTTTGCCCCATTTTACAACCTTTCTTCCTACAGTTGTTGCATAGCTGTAGTTGTTGTTAGTAACATGGTTGTTAAATGAATCTGGTTTCCCCATTGACTTTACTTGTCAGAAGGTCGCAAAAGGGGATCCCAACATCACTTCTGTGGTCATGTGGCCAGCATGACTACATGTCGATGTGCATGGAACGCTGTTACCTTCCCACCAAAGTGGTACCTATTTATCTACTTCCATTTGCATGTTCTTTAACTGCTAGGTGGGCAGGAGCAGAGGCAAGTAACGGGAGCTCACCCTGTCACATGGTGCTCGGGGCTCAAACTGCGAACCTTCTGTTCGACAAGCCCTGCATCTTAACCGCTAGGCCACTGCCCCGATTAGGTGGGGTAAGATCCCAGGTAACATCCCTAGCATTAACCTATTCTCTCTAGAGACGATTCACTTCTGGATATCAATGTTTCAGAGGCACACAGAACTCCCTTTTTACACTCTGCTGTGGAAAAAGCCACAGGAACGCCATCTTCAATACCAGCTGACCTTCAAATGCTACTGTTGGCTTTGCAGATAATTAATCAATACAGGCAGGCAAGATCAATTCAGCAGAGGAAAAGGCTCCATCCCTAATCAATGTGAGCAACTCCAGTTTGGTCCTGGTTTCTGAACTCTTGGATGGACCTAGTGGGACAATTTCCAGTCCTTGGGATAGCGTGAAACCGTAATATGATAACTTGTTTTGTTGGTCACTTTGCCCAAGGAAGGCGATTAAAATAATGCCTTGTTTTATCCTGGCTGTACACCGCCCTGAGTCCCGCAGGAGAAGGGTGGTATAGAAATAAAATAAAATAAAATAAATAAAATAAAATGCACAGCACTGAAGAAAGGTGCAAACCTGGGGGTTTTTTTTTAACCAAATCAGATGTAAAATAATTGTGACTTCTTACATCTCAAATCCTGCACACAGACACCCATCCCCCAATGTTGGGCAAAAGGCAAATGATGCTGTTTGTACTTTGCAAATAATATTAAGCAGGGTTTTCACAGTCCATCTTAAAATGGGTTCAGGCTACTGAGAATTTTTAATTATTATTTTGGAAAGAGTTATTTTGGAAAGCGTCCAAAATCTAGTTTCTTTTTCCAGTTCTTCTGATAAAAATGTTAAAAACATCAATTTTCTTATCATTTTTTCTTGCAGCATCCAATCAATAGGTAAAGTATATGTAAGGAGAAATAGAAAGTACTTAAAGTTAATATGGGAATATGGAAAGATGCACTTAAGTTTGGTTCCATTCGGGTACCAAGAGAGATTTTCATGAGTTTGCAGAGAGAATAAAAGACATTTTCACTTTATTCTCAAAGCCATTTCTTGAGGCCTGTCTCAATTCAGGGTCCAATACAGTTAGTCCTCAACTTACGACTCCACTTGAGTCCAAAATTTCTGTTGTTAAGTGAGACATTTGTTAAGTGAGTTTTTCCCCATTTTACAACCTTTCTTGCCACAGTTGTTAAGTGAATCACTGCAGTTGATGTTAGTAACCCGGTTGTTAAGTGAATCTGGCTTCCTCCATTGACTTTGCTTGTGAGATGGTCACAAAAGGGGATCACATGAGTCCGGGACACAGCAGTGGTCATAAATGTGAGTCAGTTGCCAAGCATTAAAATTCTGATCACTTGATCATAGGGATGCTGCCAAGGTGTAACTGTGAAAAATGGTCATAAGTATTGTTTGCCCTTGTAACTTTGAACGGTCACTAAATGAAAGGTTGTAAGTCAAGGACTACCTGTACGTTACTTTAGCCTGATTGCTGAATTAGTCCATTTGCTGGGTTGATGCAACAGACTGAACCAAATCAGTAGCCTCCAGCCCCCTAATCATCTCAGTTGGTCTTCTCTGCACTCTTTTTTTTTTTAATTAGATTTATATGCCGCCCTTCTCCGGAGACTCAGGGCGGCTTACAATGCGTTAAGCAATAGCCTTCATATTTTTGTATATTTATACAAAGTCAGCTTATTGCCCCCTACAATCTGGGTCCTCATTTCATCTACCTTTGAAAGGATGGAAGGCTGAGTCAACCTTGAGCTTGGCGAGATTCAAACTTACTTTAATTGCAGACAGCTGAATGTTAATAACAGGCTTTTAGTCTGTTGAGCTATCCAGGCTCAACAGACTCTTTCTAGTCTCAACATCTTTTTAATACTGTGGAGACCAGAACTGGATACAGGATTCCAGATGTGGCCTTACTAAGGCTTTGTAAAGCGGTACTAGAACCCCACATGTTCTTGATTCTACCCCTCTATTAATGCAGCCTAAAATTACATTTCAACTTGCTTGAAAGCCATCCAGAGTTGCCTCTCGGCAGGATGGGTGGCATATAAATTAAAAAAAAATTAAATTAAATATTTAAATTAAATTAAATTAAGATTCGTGGAACTGAAAGGGACTTGGAGACTCTCAAACCCGACTCCCTCTGAGCTGCACCCTATTTCGTTAGCCTGCTTCGACTAACAGGCACGAAGGAGGTTGTGCGAAACCTGCCCACTTACTGAGGCTTCCCAACTGTTTAATGATGGCAGCCAAAGTGCTGTTGGTCACACACTCCAACTCGCTGGTCACCCCATCAGGAAGGGCCCCCCGGCAAAGATGGCGGGGCTCGATATTACGCTTCACCAGTGGCATCTTGGCGAGGAGTCAGTGGACCAAGCCTGCAATAAAGAGAAGAGAGAAGGTTTCATTTTCTTTTGAAATGTCATTTCCAAGGTGCCTTCATTAAGAACTGAACTTTGCAGAAGTTTAATAAGTGGGGTCCTTGGTGCTCTCTTGAGCTTGGTTGTTTTCTTCCAGACGTTTCATTACCCAACTAGATCACATCATCAGTGCCAAAAGGGAGTGGGGTTTGCAAAGTGGAGGAGAGGAAGGGGAGAAGAAGGATAAAAACTGTGGAGCCTTTGGTGCTCTCTAAGCTTGGTTGTTTTCTTCCAGATGTTTCATTACCCAACTAGGCGACATCATCAATTTAATAAGTAAGGGGGGAAAGAAAGTACCCAAAGTTAACATGGGAATATGGAGAGATGCATTCACGTTTGGTTACATTTGGGTACCAAGAAGGATTTTCATGAGTTTGCAGAGGGAATAAACCAGGGGTGAAATCTAAAATTTGTTACTACCAGTTCTGTGGGCACGGCTTGGGGGGGGGGGGTGTAATGTAACTGGGGGGGCGGGGCCAAGTTTTTTTTTTTTTTAAACTTTTAAAAGCATTTTTTTCTACAACCTTAAGAGGTTGCAGGAAAAAATGCTTTTAGGAGCCTCTGATGATCAGGCAACTCAGCTGGGATCGCCAGAGGCTTTTAAAGGCATTTTTTTTCCCTACAACCTCTTCGGCTGAAGAGGTTGTAGAAAAAATGCTTTTAAAAGTAAAAAAAAAACAACCTCTGATGATCGCACGGCTCAGCTGGGCATGGGGGGGGGAGCGCAGGGATTTTTGCTACCGGTTCTCCGAACCACCCAGATAGGCGATCCGGTCCGAACCAGGAGCTTTTCACCCCTGGAATAAACAATATTTTCATTCTATAGGACAGCTCAGAGCCCTTTCTTGAAGACTGTCTCCAATTTGGAATCCAGTACATTTTAGCTTGATTACTGATTACTCTGTTTCCTGGGTTGTTTCAATAGACTGAACCATGAATAAGCCAAATGAGTTGAGTACATGCAAATTAAACTCTCACATACCTTACACACCATGTTCAAAACAAGACAAAGTCTGAATGGTGGCTATTGCATCTACCAGCTTTGAAGCTAGCGCTCACGAAACTTTGCCAGGTAGATTGTGTTGGGAGATGGAGACTGACCCCAAAATCAAGGAATGGATTTGGTAGCTGAGAAGGGAACTAAATCAGAACTCTTTATCTAACCCAGGATTTCTCAACCTTAGAACTTTAAGATGTGAGGATTTCAACTCCCAGGATTCCCCAGCCTGTAGGGGAATTCTGTATTTGAAATCCTCACATCTTAAAAGTTGCTGAGATTGAAAGAGTTGGTCTAATCTTTTCATCATTTTACATTACCAGCCTTCTTTCTTTATGTAGAAATAACAGAAACACACAACCAGGAATCCAAGAGCAGGGCTTGTACCCTCTGGCATGAAAGCAATCTCAGAGGCAAATATGCTTCAAAAGGAACTTTTTCTCTCTCTCTCTGTTGCTTGATCAACTTCCAATCCTTTTCTCAGCATGTTCTCAAGAGAATATTGCCCATCCTTAAAGGAAGCCTTTGAGTGAGGAGCAGCATATAAATTAGACACCCACGTGACCCATCATCCTTGACCATGGGCACTAGCTGTTAGAGCAATCTTAACGACTTCCTAGCAGGGGAACTCAAGCACTAAGTGGTGTCTAATTCCTTGGTGGCCCTAAAAGATGCTGGAGACTTTAGGGTTGAGAGAGCATTACAGATAGACCTCAACTTATAACCAGAATTGAGACCAGAATTTCTGTTGCTAAATGAGACGGTTGCTAGGAGAGTTGTGCCTGATTGTATGATCTTTATGCCATGGTTGTTAAGTGAATCACTGCAGTTCTACTGAATCCATTGCTAGTCAAAGAGGGAAATTGGTGGAGCAGAAAAGAATCCAAAACCTTCTGGCTTCTGTTTTTCTACCTTATTCCCAGGCTCTTTAAGAGGACATACATTCAATTTTGCATCTACTAAGATTGTCAGCCGAGCAGGTATAAAGATAGCCAGGAAAATGATTGAAGCCTGGGAAAGGGGCCTCTTATCAGTCAACAGGGGTGCTGATTTATCACCTGCTTATCAGGTATTTAGGAGCCGAGGACTTGTCAGCACAAGGAAACAACAATCAATGACTTAATAGCCAGTCATCAACACCCCAATCAACAAATAAAAACCCACACACAACCAGGCACCACATAAATACTACACATAGAATAGCCCAAATCACATATTCTGGTAGAGAGAAGTTCCCTGAGGATGGGCTCCAGTATGAATCTGAAAGCTCGGAAGACTAAACCGCTGGGTCCTGGTGATTCAATTTAAGACCACCTTTCAAATTTCTTTTGATGGTGTTTTTGAACTGACTATCACCGGAGTTCAGAGAAGGTACCACTGTTGGTGCTGATGCTTCTGTTAGACCTTAGTCTCTCACTCTGGGGCCTCTTGGCTGCCCAAGCCATCCAAACTAGGGAAAAAATAATGGGGAACAGGTTCCCCCCTGTATTTTCTTGGAATTCAATGGAAGCAGAGGAAACGATGGAGAGAGATTTGCAAAGAACTACAGCATATTCACCCATGAACCCTGGTCACCTGGCCACCCAATACCAAGAAGGTCACCCTTCGCCTGTAAAGATTTCATCCAGATAATCTTGTCCTGTAAAAGAAGTGCTGAATGCATGTTCTCTTGCTTCACTGATGAGGTGGTAGAAAGATGGCAGGAGGATTTTTGTGCCTGAAACTTTGATAAACTTGTCTGATCTTCTTGACCTTTTGATCACGTTGATTTGGGAGGAAAGATTTCCAGTGTGGTTTCTTGTAGATGTTTCTTTACCCAAACTAGGTAACTTCATCAGCACTGATTATTAGCACAATGGCATTGATGATGTTGCCTAGTTGGGTAATGAAATGTCTGCAAGAAAACCACCAAGCTCAGAGATCACCAAGGACCCTTGTAGTCTCTCTGATTTCTCTGCTTTCATGAATGATCACCATGTGATACACAAAGAAACTCTTCCCACGTTGGAGGGCTCCTTGATACTCTTTAAACTTGGTTGTTTTCTTGCAGACATTTCATTACCCAAACTAGGTAACATCATCAGCACTGATTATTAGCACAATAGCTAATAGTGATGATGTTACCTAGTGGGTAATGAGACGTCTGTCTAGTTGTTATTAAAGATAACAACTAAGCTCAGAGAGCACCAAGGATCCTTCATTTCAACCCTAAGCCACAAATATTTTCCTTTATTGATTTGTATTGGAAGGAAGCTCTTCTAGATCCCTTATCAAGGCTCTCCACATGTCCTACCAACTGACTGTCTTGTGGATTCCACAGATGGGCTACCAGGCCCCACAGGGACAGGAAATATGTGAGAGGCTGCTTGAAAGGAACTGAAAGAGCTGCCAATTAACAGGCAAGCAAAAGCCTTTTTCTGCTCTCACAGGGTCAGCTTGCCTGTTCCAGTCCAAAAAGAAGAAAAGAAATGGACGTACCAGAAACGACCAACAAGATGAACTCTGAGCTCCATCCTGTCCCAACGGAACTCTGCAGAAAGACCCCGAGAATTTTGACCTACGAGATTTCATGACAACATGGAAAGAGCATTTCCTTCTTTCTACTTCTATTCATTAAGCAGCCGGAGAAGGAAACCAGCTTTTGGGGAGTGACTGATGGAGCTGAATGCAGAGCTACCCAGCTGCGCCTCATTGAAATGCTTCTCTTTTTCAACCTTTTCCAGAAAGCTGCATTAGGCATGCTGAAAATCAGGGCTCACAGCAAAGCATAGCAAGGAGAGCAAAATGACGCTGGCCATCTGTGAAGCTTAGGAGACCTCATAGCTGATGTGTGTGGTCTTTTCTTGGGGTGTTACAGAAGCCCACCAGCATAAAGGACACCCTGATCCTAACATAAAACAGCTGAACTTCTGGTTACAGTGACAGAAATGATTAATCAGTTTACAGTCAGTCCTCAAATTGTGACGTGATGGAGACTGGTAGAGAGAAGTTCCTTGAGGATGGACTCCAACACAAGTCTGAAAGCTTGGAAGACTAAACCTCTGGTCCCGGTGACCGAATTTTAATAGCAATAGCACTTAAATTTATATACCACTTTACAGTGCTTTACAGCCCCCTCTAAGTGGTTTACAGAGTCAGCATCTTGCCCCCAACAATCTGGGTCCTCCTTTTACTGACCTGGGAATGATGGAAGGCTGAGTCAACCTTCAGTCGGTGAGACTCAAACTGCTGGCAGCTGGCAGTCAGCAGAAGTAGCCTGCAGTACTGCATTCTAACCACTGTGCCCTCATTGAAGTGAACACCACGATTGTAAAGTGACATGCTGCAGATCCATGATTTGCTATGGGCTAGTTTTGCAGTAAACAGGAAATAAATGCTGGGTTTTTTTGGCAAAGCTGTCATAAAATACAATCACGTGACCATGGGGCACTGCAGATGGCTGTGAATGCAGTTCTGTTGCTGAGAGCCTGAAGTGTGGTCATGTAACCATGGGAAGGTATTGACCATTGGACTTTCAAATCTGGATCGTGTCAGGCCCAAAAATAACCAGGAACAGGGACTGAGTTCAAAGCACTTCGTTTATTACTACTTCCTATACACAAGAATCTGATTTACCAATGGCCAAGGCAAATTGGCACTAGATAAGAGTTCATGGGATTCAAGGGGGCCTGGACTTAGTGGGTACTAAGGGAGCAGTGGGCACTAAGGGACTCCAAACTACCGGTGAAATCCAGCAGGTTCTGACAGGTTCTGGAGAACCGGTAGTGGAAATTTTGAGTAGTTCGGAGAACTGGCAAATACCACCTCTGGCTGGCCCCCAAGTGGGGTGGGAATGGAGATTTTGCAATAACTTTCCCCTGCCACACCTACCAAGCCATGCCCAAGCCACACCACGCCTACCAAGCCACAGAACCGGTAGTAAAAAAAATTTGGATTTCACCACTGCTCCAAACCACTGATT